AGCCTCCTGATGTAACGCCGGAATGTTAACCTTGTTAAAAACTCTTGAGCCTTTTAACCGGAAGAGACCAGTGATGGTGAGCTCTCTGGCAAGGCAGGCATAGATGCAGTGCATACCCCTTGGCCCGGTGGTCTATGGCAGACTCTGCCGACAGAGCCCCCTTTTGCATTTGACAGGCCAGGGTAGCCCAAGCAGGACATCCCGCTCCCATAGTCAGGAACCCCTCCTGGACGGCCTGTAGTCCGTTCCCAGAGTTTGTCGTGCCTATAACTATCTATATATGGAGGAGGAGTTGTCAACAAGTCTACGAGACGAATCAGCTTGGTCAAGACAACGCAAAAAGGAAGATGAGCAGAGCTCAGGATGTTACCCAGACAAGCCACACGCGGTGCAACCAGAGACGTCTTCTGGCCTCTCTGCTTATCTTCCGAACACTTGTGCTACGGGCCTGGAGGTGGACGAACAGCTAACTAGCAGGGGGGGGGGGGCGATCATCGTGACGGTAAAAGGGGAGCCGTCGAAGCAGACATATATATATACAGCGGATAATCCGCCAGCGAATACAACCACAGGCGGGACAGCAGGTAAAAATAGCGTAGCAGGCGAGCCGTCTGCCTCCTCCTCGGCGCAGACAGAGAGCCATCATATATATTGTAGATGTGGGCGGACGGAGTGCTGCGATGTCGATGCTGTGACCGGGGGGGTGGTGCGCCCCCTTTGCTAGCAGTTAACTTAGCCAGACGAGAAAAAAGTGGATGTTTGCGTCTTCCCGCCGGGCTTGCAGGCTTTCCTCGTCGCCCTTCTCGCCCTTTCGCCAACGCCAACGACAACCTCGATCCTCCAGCACGACAAGGACAACCACCAGGGCCCGCGGACGGCATCACCCCCCAGACCGACGACCGGACAGAGCGTCTCTGCTGCTTCTGCTTCTGCTGCCTTGCTTGCCGCTCCTTTTCATTGTTATTCCTCTGTAGTCTTGTTTACTTGTTTCTCGCTCAGCTTCGCTCTCTCGCTGCCTGGGTACCTGCTTCGCCCCCTGCGTCTGGGCCCTTTTTCCTCCTAACGCCCTGCCCTGCCTGCGAGCCACGGTTGCGAGGCCTCGCTGAGACGACGGTTAGCCATATCATCTCCCATCAGCACGGGTCGGGCCGCCTTTCGACTGATAACAAACGCCGTCGTCTTTTCTCGTATCAAACAGGAGGCCATCATGGCTGGGCGGAGTTGAGATCTGGGACAAAAACAAGAGCCATAATAAAAAAAAAAATAAAATATAAATAAAAAAGGACGCAACACAAAACGACCAACCAAAACGGCCTCCAGGACCTCGATTCTCTCTCGTTCAACATCCTAAGACATCATCAGGTTACTGCTGCTGCAGGCAGCCGTCCGGCGTTGCCCTCGACCGCGTTCCTGCTCCCGCCGTCCTCGCGCATAAACTGTGGCCCTTTGCCGTGGAACCAGCCGTCAGCGGATGGGCATGTCCTCGTTGGCCTCTCGCACGCACAGCTGAATAAAGAATCGACTCTTGAGATAGCCGAGTGGATAAGCAGACAGACAGGAGCATTCCGGGGGATTCACTGCAAACGACGAGAAGAGCGCGCGCGCTGGCTGGCATGGCGGGAATTGCTGCTGCAGAACCAGCGGACGCATCGATTCACCATGACCCCAACATCACGGCCACCAGCGCCTTTCACAGTTCCTACGACCATCCGTCGATAGCACAGGATGTACGTCTTCCATACATTTTTTTTTTCTCTGTCTTTTTTTGTCTTTTTACCAAAGTTTGGAGGAATTTCGTCTTTTCCCTTCTATTCTTATTTTTATAATGTTTTATATGGCTGACAATGGGCTCATAGAATCTCCGGTCCACATTGAAGACTCGCCATTCCGCAGACTCTCCTCCGCAGGCACGACATTCACGACACAATCATGTCAACGGTACTTCGCTATCTCGAACATCGTCCGCTGCTGGCTCTGGACGGAACAATGTGACCGAGTCTACCTACCTCACTCCCCATGCCGGGCGCAAGGACAGCAGTCTCAGCCGCACTCACAGTGAAGCTGACAGTCTGCTGGACCTTTACAGCCGTGATTCTGGCAACCGTAGCGTCTCAAGCGTTCTCGATGCGTCTGAGAGGAAGGACAACAAGCCTTTCTATCAAATAGAAGCCGAAGACCCAGAGCATGCCCAATGGATACACCGTGACAAGCTTGCGAAGATTGAAAGTGAGGAGTTGCAGCAGCTCGGTATCCGTCTACCTGCGCCATTTACAGGCAGCAAGAGAGGGAGAGGCCGTAGCCATGAAGCTCCCAATGGGATCAATGGGGTTATTACGACAGAGCAAGGCGAGCAATGGCCTGCTATTGCCAAGGACGAGGCAGAGAAACGGCATAGACGTGGCGGCTCGTCCGATGTCCGAGTTGATGGGATCGTTCCACTGGAAACCGACGATAATGAAATAATCAACTTCGACCCGCGGCTTCCAGAGGAGATAGCGGCGGACCAGGAGGAAAGTGACAGTGTATACCGACAGCCTGGCCTACGGAAGAGCTCGTCTCGAATCCCCGTACTAGCATCAAGCCATCACCCCATACCGCAAGAGCATCTCGACCGCGGAGTCCCGCTACCGCGTACTCGGAATAACACTCTCGACAATGGCAACGAGGACAGCATTGTCTATCCCAAAACCCGTAGACCTAGCGAATCAGCGTTCCGTGAACGAGAAGTGACTCCTGACTCCGAGTCAAAGGCGGATGTCACCACTCAGGATAGCAACAGCACGAGCACCTCCCATCCTTCCCCGTCCAAGGCAAAGGCGCCCTCCAAATCCACGCCGACAGGTCGGAAGACGTCCCAGCCGCCGAACAACCGCAAAACCTCCGTCACACAGAAGCCCAAGACACCCAACAGCAACAACGCCGGCGGAAGCCCCAACAGCACCCCGAATGGTCGCCCAGGAACACGGTCAGGCGATAACCGACCACCCAGCGCCGCCGCATATTCTGGCATTAACAGACCCGACAGTGACCCTCCATGGCTGGCAACGATGTATAAACCCGACCCTCGTCTTCCTCCTGACCAGCAGGTTATCCCAACACATGCGAAGCGCATGCAACAAGAACAGTGGGAGCGAGAGGGTAAAGTGCCCGCCATCTACGACCGGGACTTCTCTCCTCTCACCATCCAGACGTATGACAGCAACGGGGCCGTCACGCCGTCACCACAGCCTACGGAGCAAGAGCAGGAGGACAGCAACCAGCAGCAAGCTCAACAAGAGCTGCAGCCGCTACCAGAGACGCTATCACCTACGAAACCGCCGTCTACAAGAGTTAAGAGTCCCGATCCCTCTGGCAACAATGCATCAGGGTACAAGGCTGTCCCCAACATACACTCCACAACACCCGCGCAGCCCAGGCTGAACTCGTCTTCGGCCCCTGCTCGACCAAGGCCGATGGATGTTGAAGAACCTCCAGTCAAAGAGAAGGGCTGCGGTTGCTGCATTGTCATGTAGCAACGTCTATCGTATCTATACCCTATACCCCATATCCAACCGACCTTTCGATGATCAATGCTTTCCTTTCTCAGGTATCTTTCTTTCTTTCTTTTTTTCCTCCCCTTCTATCTCTCTCTCTCTTTTTTACCTTCTTTCCCCTATATCAGTTTTTCTATATTAATTTTTGTTCAATATTTGCTGCTCTCAGCTTACCGCACTGCCGTCCACGTCTACTACCCCCTTGAGCGTTCAAGCTTTCTACCCTACATATCCCACTCCCGGCCTAACGACCATTCTTTTCCTTTCTCCTTGTCTTTTCGAACCCCCATACCCACGCTCTCCCCTTCTACGTCTCTGTTGTCTGATCTGGTTATTTTCTATCTTCTCAATAAAACTTGGCTGGTGATTGGCGATTTGGCTCTCTGAATATTTATCTTACCCATAAAGATCGAATTGGAACTTCCAACTGTACACTTCTTTTACTATCGTCTTCTTTTTTGTCCTCTTTTTTTTTATAATCAATTTCATACCTTCTTTCTCCTTCCTTAACTTACCGGCTTTTGACTCTTAATTTCTCTCAAGTCCCTTTGCCAGTCGGCATTCCTCTTTATTGCGTTATCATCTAGCTATCCAGCTAGATGTCTTCTCTCTCTCTCTCTCTCTCTCTATCTCCCCTGACAGACTATCATCCATTTACGCTTGACCCGAACATACCATCTCCTCTCGATACCCTCGAAACCTTCCTGGTTGTTCCTTTACCAATAACTTCAATACCATTTTATGCGTCCCAGGCTCTTTTTGTTACCTTCTTTTGTTTTTGAAAATGTTGAAGATTGAAAATTGAAACCTTTCACTCCCATCCTTCCCCGGTCCACCTCCCTTTGCCCCCCCTTCAAGTTCTTCCCTTGAGCCAGCGTGCCCCTTTCCCAGCGCAAAACACAGTGAGATCTTCTTGTCTCTGCCACTCACCATCTCCTTTACTTGTCCAGCCCAGTTTGTACCTCCTCCTCCTGCCGCCCACCTTGCTGCCGTTGCTTCTGTGTGTGTTGTTTTGTCCCCTCAAAAACCTGATGGCAGTCTGGTCCGGTTTAGCAAGTAGCATCCGCTCTTTAGGCATGTTTTGTTATCTTTTCAAATAGAGTGAATTGAATAACCAGCACGCTGTTTCCGTAGAGTACATGCTATAAGTATGTCTGCACGATGCATCTCCCTCCTGGCTCTACCTGCAAGAGTAAAACGGGGGCTATCAAGAAATCATGCATGCCCAACCCGTCTCACCCCGAATAGCCGGCATGGGGACACCTCCAACCATCTCATCCACCCAGTTATGCCTGTCTGGACCCTGTAGACGGCCCCTTGTAGCTCACTCCCCCAACTGCCGTGATCTGCGGCCCTCGTATCAAGATCGTACTTGTTCCGCTAACTAACTGGTCGGTGGGCCAGAAATTGCCGGGCTTGCTTTCTTCCCCGCCGAAGCATCAAACAACCTTTAACCAGGTTGAATCCTTACCATCTTTCACATTGCATATAACTATCGTCTCGCAACCCCTCGTCCAGGCCGTCTTCTTCTTCTTCTTCTTCTTCTTCTTCTTCTTTTTCTGCTATCAAGAAGTTGCCCACCATAGCTTCCATACTCCGCCGTCTTTTTGGCTCTGTAGCCACCTCGCCAGCCGCCATGTCTGCCGCAAAAACCAAAGCCGAGCAAATCATCAGTGAGAATGCCGTAGGTGAGTCGAAGCTCTTGAAAGCCAGCAAGTAACTAGAGATGTGCAAAAGCTAACGTCTGGCGTGTTGTAGTTGTCTTCTCCAAGTCCTACTGTCCTTACTGCAACGAGACCAAGGCTCTGCTGAGTTCCAAGGGAGCTAAGTTCTTCGTCATGGAACTCGACAAAGTTGGCATGTTTGGCTACCATCGATATATGCGGATACACTTCGGGTTGCGAGGAGACGGGGCTGAAAGCTGATGCTGAGACTGACTTTGGATATAGATGACGGCCCTGCCATCCAGGACGCTCTGCAGGAAATCACCAACCAGCGCACCGTTCCCAACATCTTCATCAACCATCAGCACATCGGCGGCAACTCTGATCTCGTTGCTAAGGCTGGCCAGTTGTCTACTTTATTGAAGGAAGCCGGTGCCCTCTAGATGGCTTGCAGCCTAGGTACCATGGCTATACCAGCGGTTATAGATGTGTCTCCAGCAACGTTCTTGTCTGTAGAGGATAGAAAGACTTTTTGATTCTACGTACGGGGATGAGAATGCGGGTAGACTAGTTCATGTATTTATTTAGGAGTGTCTCGAACGCTGAATACATCTAGCGGCTATAGTACATATATATATCACACCATTCTTTCCAAGTGAATAGAAACCGTCCCATCCCATAACGTACACTTGAACCACAGCTCTTAGGTGGGCAGAAAAAGGGCCAGTTCAGACGACCTTCATCTCAACTGTACCGATCGGCCGGCCAACGATACCCATCATGCCATCAACGATATTCTTTCTTGCGCTCTCGCTAGCCACGGTCTTACCGGCAAGGTAATTCAACCACACCAGTCGTCCGATACGCTCATCCCCAACCCTACCAAGCCATGTCATCGGCTTCGTATCCCCAGGCTGATATATTATCCCCATCCCTCCAAGCTTATCACGAAGGAGAAGCAAAGTCTGACCCTTAGGCACATTCTTCCTCACTCCTCCACCAAGCAGTGTCTTAAACTCTGACAGTGCTGTGCCAAACGAGTCATCGCCAAATTCAACTGCCGTAGAGACGTCAGAAGCTGATTTATCTGCTGTAGCGAGTTGCTTCGCCCGCGCATTTGCCTTCTGGGCCCGGGCAGTGATAGCTCTCACCCACCCATCACGCAGATGCAAGAAGTCTGTGTTTCGTGTGGGCACGATCCGGAAGACGGTGCGGATACCCCCTTGCCTCAGGATATGATCCATTATCTGCTCGCCCTTCTCGGCTTCGAGTAGAGAGGCCTGTAACTCCTCACGCTCGTGCGGTACAAGCGATGTAGCAGCCAGTCCGTCATCGGTAGGAGCAACGCCGGGTACGACGGGGTTAGCACCTTGTCGAATAAGTCGTGCCTGGAGCTCGGGAATGTCTGCCGTAGCGATGTACAAGCCAACCACGTAGACTTGAATGCTAAGGAAGGAGACCGTACGTAGACCCAAGCCGAGGAGCTGGTATTCGTCTGCCGATTTGTCATTCACATTATCTGTAGCAGGCAATTCGTCGCCGATTTTCAGGTCAGGATTACTTCCGTCAACGGTTCTGGGTAGGCGAATCGTCTTGGGGAAGTTAGGTATCGTGGAGTTTCCTGTGGGAACCTGTTCGATGCCATCGATGATCACGGTGGAAGACTCATTGAGTGCCACACCACCCGGTGGTCCCTCGAGCTTGATTTTTCCATCACCCTTCGTCTTTGATGCTGCTGTCTGGCTCTTTTGCCCGTCGTTATTGTCGGCATTGGTCTCCGGTTGTAGTCCGTCTGGGAAGTAATATGTCACAGTGCCGTACATGGAAATGGCGCACGCAATCAGGCCTGCGGCAGATATGGCCATTGACCTCTTATGCCGTGCATTTTGATCACGGGCCGCCTTGGTGGAATATCGCACTTCTTCCCTTGTGCCTGTTTTTGTGGTAGTTGCTCGGAGTGTGTGGGATGTTGATAGCCATCGAGGCTGCTGGCGAGTGAGATTTCGTCGAGCGCACTGTGTGAGATATCGACGGAGGGGCGTATGGAGGGACGGAGGAAGGGAGTTCATGGCTGCAGTGATCAATGGCTTTGGGAAAGCTGCCGGTTAATAAATCAGTAGGCTAGGTGGACTTCGTGAGCGTCGACCCGGCCTGCGATGGTTGAGATATCTAAGTTGACTAACTAGTTACGACTGGCGGCTATGTTTGTCATGTTTGCACGCAACGAAAACCTTAAACCGTTACTTTGAGTTTACTAACAAATACTCCGTAGAAGACAAGATAGAAGATGAAGATGGAGATGGAATTTTGATTTGAAAGTTCATGTCAATTAAAAGCCGGTTTTGTATCTAATGTGATGTGAAGAGGGGGAGAGTGGTATTTTCGTGAGTTTCTCAAATGCCCGCAAGAAAAAAACACCTGGGGAGAAATAAGAGTAAGAGTAAAAAACCAGCATCTCTTTTTTACTTTCAAACATCAAAAACCCTTTTTTTGTTCATCACCATCATAGTTTGTCGTTACATCAAGAAGTAGGTGAGATGATTTACTTCTTGCCAGCCTTGGCAGCGGACTTGGTGACCTTGCCAGCACCACCGGCGGCCTTCTCAACAGCCTCTGTAAAGATGCATTAGTATATGTACGACAATAACAGCACGCAGTTATTTAGGGTGGGTGGTAGAGGAGAAACTTACTGATGACACCGACGGCAACGGTCTGTCTCATGTCACGGACGGCGAAACGACCAAGTGGGGGGTAGTCAGTGAAAGCCTCAACGCACATGGGCTTGGAGGGAACCATCTTGGCGATAGCGGCATCACCAGACTTGACGAACTTGGGGTTGGCTTCGACGGATTTACCGGTACGGCGGTCAATCTTCTCGAGGAGCTCAGCGAACTTGCAAGCAATGTGAGCAGTGTGGCAGTCGAGGACTGGGGCGTAACCAGCACCGATCTGGCCGGGGTGGTTAAGGACGATGACCTGGGCGTTGAAGGAGGCACAGCCGGATGGTGGGTCGTTCTTGGAGTCACCGGCAACGTTACCACGGCGGACTTCCTTGACGGAAACGTTCTTGACGTTGAAGCCAACGTTGTCACCGGGGACACCCTGTGCAAGCTGCTGGTGGTGCATTTCGACGGACTTGACTTCAGTGGTGACGTTGGCGGGGGCGAAGGTGACGACCATACCGGGCTTGATGATACCGGTCTCAACACGACCGACTGGTACAGTTCCGATACCAGAGATCTTGTAGACATCCTGGAGTGGGAGACGGAGGGGCTTGTCGGTAGGACGGGTTGGCATGTCGATGGCATCGATGGCGTCGAGGAGGGTCTTTCCAGTCTTGGCACCACCAGCCTTGGTCTCCTTGTTCCATCCCTTGTACCATGGGCAGTTGGTGGAGGCCTCAATCATGTTGTCACCGTTGAAACCAGAGATTGGAACGAATGGAACACCCTTGGGGTCGTAGCCAACCTTCTTGATGAAGCTGGTGACTTCCTTGATGATTTCCTTGAAACGCTCCTCGGACCAGCCGGTGGTGTCCATCTTGTTGATGGCAACGATGAGCTGCTTGACACCGAGGGTGAAGGCAAGCAGAGCGTGCTCACGGGTCTGGCCATCCTTGGAGATACCAGCCTCGAACTCACCAGTACCGGCAGCAATGATGAGAATAGCGCAGTCAGCCTGGGAGGTACCAGTGATCATGTTCTTGATGAAGTCACGGTGACCGGGGGCGTCTACTCTCATTAGATATGGCACAACCACGATGGGGAAAGGAGCAAAAGAAACATACCAATGACGGTGACATTGTACTTGGGGGTCTCGAACTTCCAGAGGGCGATATCGATGGTGATACCACGCTCACGCTCGGCCTTGAGCTTGTCAAGAACCCAAGCGTACTTGAAGGACTTCTTGCCCAACTCTTCGGCTTCCTACAGGTACCTTGTTAGCATCGATCCTTAAGACAGAAAAAAGCAAATCTAAACATGACATGAGGCTCGATCGTTGCCTGGAGCGATGGCTGCATGTTGCATGTTTGATGTTGGTGGGGTGTGGATTTTGCTGCCCAAGCGACGAGTGCCAAGCCACATCCCACCAGGAGTAACAAAAAAGTCACCTGTAGTGGGATGAAGGGGGAAAATTGTGCAACAGAACGGAGGCAGCAGGATCAAGGAAAAAGGGTCATTTTACCTTCTCGAACTTCTCAATGGTACGCTGGTCGATACCACCGCACTTGTAGATCAAGTGACCTGCAATGTTATAGTCAGTTTCTGTGTATATAGTGTGTGGTGCCTGGCTCGAGGTGTATCTGGTGGCTGGCTTACCAGTAGTGGTGGATTTGCCGGAATCGACGTGGCCGATAACGACCAAGTTAATGTGTCCCTTGTCGTCCTTACTGTAGGATGGTTAGCTCTGGCCATCGAGGCATTGGGTGGGCAGTTGCTGAAGAAGGACGTACCCCATGGTGACGGTGTTTTTTTGTGTGTGGTTTGAAGTCTTGTAGCTCTTTGGAAGATACTAGAAGAATTCAGCAGAACGCTCAGATACTACGGCCGAAATTGCGTAGAGGTGCTGCAGAAGCGAGTTAGCTATCGTGGCAGGACGACGATGATGACGGTGATGGAGAGGAAGGGGAGCGTGTGAGGGTGAGGGAGGACGTACTGAAGCAGACGAAGGAGAGAAAGAAAAAAAAGAGGAAGAGAAAAGAATTTTCTGTGTGAAGGCGACGAGCGAGGGGTCCTTTTGTATGGCGGGGCGAGGGGCGCGGACAGCCGAAAGAGGACTAGCGAGACGGCGCTAAGCCTAACCGGGCAGGCAGCGGAGGGGCATGCTGGGCCCCCACCATGAAAACTCTGACGGCGCTTAGCTGGAGGATAAGGTGAAGATGGAGGTGAGCGAGACGGTGAGGTGGCAGCGAGGGTGGATAAGGAGCGGACGGCCGAGGGAGTGACTGATAGAGGAGAATAGTTGACTAGGTGACTACTACGTTCTACAGATGTTGGCAGCTAACTAACTAGTCGAGAGCAGAAGCAGTGTATGGCGACCGCTGTGGGTGAGGGAGTGAGTGTGTGTGCGTTTGTGCACAACTCTGCATCCATCCCTGCAAGCCCTTTCTGATCAGCGCCGCCGTGCCTTGGAGGGGTCGCGGTCGAGTGCGTCCAGTTTACGTGTCCGAGTGGGCTGTCCTGGTGGGTTAGCTTGAAGAGTCTTAGTGGCGTGGTAGCTCGTGCGACTCCTGTTTGGCGGGATGAAGATTTTTGGTCGGCGGGAACCCAAGGAGAGATTCCGCCCGCCTCTCTGCCCTTTGCCAAGGTAGATAGGACACGCTCTCTTTGGGACGATTAAGGTGAGAATTTGACGTTAAGAAATGGCCAGCCCCCTCATCTAGTTCTCTCGCCATCGAGCATCACAGACAGAACACTGTGGTTGGTCAAGGTCAGCATGAGTGTGAGTCATAAAAGAGAGAGAGAGAGAGAGAGATGCAGCGTAAGGAAGCATCGCACCTTGTAGAAGGTCGTCATAGGCTCGTCTGCACTTCGGATCTGCAATTGGAAAAAGAACGCGCGATCTCCCTCGCAACCTTCAGCGGGGCATTGGGCTGCAGTGCAGGTGTCAGTATATAGTATTCCTTCACAGCAAAGAAAAAAAGGCAGCAAAGATGATGTACCGGGCATGCTTTCTGCATTCTTCCACTCGTCCTTTCCACCCAGCACATCGGCCACTTCCTTGCGTTTCATCTCTTTGCGTTCAAAGTACGTTCGGTCAAGGGCATACTGGTACGGACAGGTACGACATTCGAACCGGTTGACGCCCGCCGGATATCGCGAGGTGGGAGGTGCTTTCGAGATGGTTAAGGCATTGCTGCAGTTTGGACAGACTGGCGACAACAGTAAGAAGAAGAGACAAGTGTTAGTTATTTCTATCATAACCGGATATCTACATTCACAATATGCAAGGGGAACGTACAAGTGAGAGGCATATTGAAGGCCAGGCACTATCAAAACCCGTCCATCGACGTCTTCAGATCGTTGAAAGATAAGGAGAAAAAAAAAGCATGATGAGCTCGACTTTCGAGATGTGGCGCCAATTGACCAATAGATAGACGCCAAGCGTCTAAGTCGATTGTTGACGCGGCTAGGAACAATATTACACCGTATACTCAGCCGCATGATCACGTGAAACGAAAGTTTAATTGATATTGGCTTTCGGCCGCTATCCAATACTTTTCCGATGTTATACTCTTACACGATCGAGATAATAAATAACAACCAACCATCATAACATCAACGCCTCTGGCTCCTTCGTCCTCCAATCTCAGACCGAGTCATCCAATGGAGCAAGCAAGATTTAAACGTGCTAGCCTTGGATTGCGGGGACCATGGGTGATTAAATTTCGATTTGGGAAAAAATGCATCGACTCGCCTCGCAATCTGAGACATCCTCGCCAGTGGTATCTCTTGATTCTGCGTAGGATTCGTCTGTAAACTCATCAAGTTTTTTAAAATTGAGTAATCGAATGCGATATTAAACTGATACTCATAGATATCCATGGCACCTCTGAGGATATTCAGGGATACATCCAGATGCGCCTCAAAAGCTCGGTCTTCAAACCCATAGTCCGTGTATTCCTCCCTCTGGCCCTCGGTTTTGCTCATTGTACTTGTCCGCATAGGCATTGCGTCAATAGTAGGACATCATGCCATTTCACCATTCCCCTTTTGGCATACTCTCCTGTGCCTGAAAGCTAGCATCATCTTACTGGGGCGCATGATCGAAGTATCACAACACTGGCCGGTCTCACACAAATTCCTAACAATAGAGGTACGTGATTCAATCAGGCTTAAGCCTTCATGTCAAAGGCATCTGCAGGAACCTGTAAATATATCTTGGGATGAGTATACGTATCTAGGGGTAGCTTCAGACTCCTAATGCAATATCCATTAGTTATCCCAGATCCCAATTGGTAAAACGAACACTTGCTTGAACCCTCACCACAAAGATCACTCTCTGTGCCAGTGCATCATCTGCGTGATACCCTGTTTGCTCTGTTAATCCTGGTCTATTGATGATGGGTCGTTTCAATACTTTAGGTAGATTAAGGCTCATTCTTAATTCTTAAATTACGAGATTTCGTCAACTAACCATGGAACTCACCCCTCCAACTAACTAATTAGTTAACTATCGGATCAAAGCTTTTGCTGAAAACCTATCACTATAAACGACACTATCTAAGTAGCTGAGGAAGTAGTGAGGTACTATTAGGGAGAAGTTTCTCTTGGGTTACTCTTCGTCCTAGGAAGAGGATGAAAAGTTAACTTATTAGCCACACTAGTTAACTAACAACGACTTGACTGCGTGCATGGTCCGTTAAGCCCTGTTTTGAATAGCTTCCAACAGTGGCTGAAGCTGACTTTCGACCGGGATGCACATGTTTGCAGATGGCCGCTGCCATCCGTCACAGGCGGGGTAGTCTGCAGCCAACTTACGATCGTTATAACTAACAAAATGACTTCCGGCGTCCGTCCGACGCATTGTCACTACCTGCAATCGCCATAACCTCCTTCGGACCATTCTTAGACAGACAAATATTTTTCGAGCTATAACACACCTTTACTTTTAAGATGAAGGTTGCAATTGCAGGTTACGGCGATTTAACTCGCTACATCTGTGAAGAATTCGTCCAAGCTGGCCATGAACTTGTCATTCTTACCCGGAGCTTCAAGCCACAAATCGAAAGCCCCGGTATCTCTCAGGCCATTACGGACTATACCATATCATCTCTGAAAGCCCCGTTGGCTGACTGTGAGGTCTTAATCTCAACTATCGGTGACATGTCGAATGCTTACACCAGCGTTCATCATACACTCATACAAGCCTGTCAGGAGAGCCCAAAGTGCAAACGCTTTATTCCCGCTGAGTTTGCTGTAAACATCGAAACTTATCCGGATGAACCTGGTTTCTACTATGCTATACACGAGCCTGTTCGTGAGACGCTGCGAAACCAGACGAATTTAGAGTGGACGCTGGTGTGCATCGGCTGGCTAGCAGACTATTTTGTGCCGAGTAAAAATCGGTACATCAAAGATATCGACGAGTGCCACCCGATTAACTGGAAAGCCAACAAGGCTGTGATTCCCGGAACTGGGAATGAGCCAGTTGATTTTACATGGGCAAGGGACGTTGCCAAGGGGCTCGCCTCGTTGATACAAGCGCCGACTGGCTCATGGGAGCCCTACACATTCATGTCAGGGGAACGAAGCTGTTGGAATGATATGGCCGCGCTTATCAAGGAAAAATATCGCCCTGATATGCCGATTGAGCATGTTTCGCTTCACGCCACGGCCAATATGATCAAAGCAGCCAAGGATGAGGATACGTTAATTTTGGCCGACTATTACCTTCTATCAATTAGCCAGGCATGTGCAATCCCCCAGGACAAAGCTAAGGCACATAAAGAGAAATTCTTTCCACATATTCACTTCCGGAATTTGCGGGAGGGTCTATCCCAGTTTGACGAGAAACCCAATTCCATCATGTGAGGATGGGAGGATAAAGGTGCATAATATAGATGTACCTGTTTTTTTTTGGCTCTAAAAATAGAAACCGTCTTTGCCTCCTGATCTTGTCTTTAAGCTATCCACGATTCCGTGTACACTTGTATAAACAAAATGATCTATTACTATCTAAAGACAAGTGGTGAATGTTTGGTCCTGCCCTTGAAATTCAGCGATGCGATAGACACAGGACACCGGAATTACCCTAAAACATTGTAGAAATTAGTACTCTTTAATTTGACAGAACTCTGCAAAACGCTCCTATTTTCCATATTCCAAACTAGCCCAAAATCACACCGAAAAAAGAACGCTCTCTATAAACTAATACAGTCTTGATAAAAATAAGGAGTCCGCTGAGGTTAAAAATCACTTTTCTGGCACAATTCTCATATCTTCCTGCTGCTGCAGCCGGTCGATCTCCGTCTCGATAGCAAGAACCCACAGATCTCTTTCTGCTCTGCTTCGAGCTTTAAATACGATTGATCTGCCTGATGTACCTAGGCGAGATACATGTCTCCATCTTCGCGTCTTCTGGTTTCCGTCTCTCTCTTCTTCCCCATGGAACAATACTCGGCGGGTATTGTTCCAGATGACAAATGTCGTTGCTGTATCCTCATCGGCCGATGTCCAACCATCGGATGGATATATGCGTGGCGTTGAATTATGGCTTGGGTGATTGTTGTCAAAGGTCTGGCTGTGGTATAGTAAGTCGGAGCTAGTAATGATACCACTATATAGGTAGCAATCCCGTAGGTCGAGAATGGTCTGCCTAGACTGATGTGTATGAGGTACTTGTTCTCCTGAAAAAGTCCTAACAGAGCCCTGGAAAATGAGCAGTTGGCCTTCAGCAAGTATAACACTGCATTTCGAAAACGAGCCCCGTCTGCGCGGTTTGCGATAGAGGTGGCCGGATCTCTGGGCATAGCGTTGTTAGCTTGAGCACGAAGTTCACAGCCAGTCGTAGATACGTCAAACATACCTTGATTGCCCGGCATCCGGATGGGCCACAAACATTGAAGAGCTCCGGTGAGGCGTCTGCCCGAGCAACTTCCCATTTTTGTGCAAATTGTCCAATCACAGATTCCTGCTCCTCATCTATATCAAGTTTTTCCAGATTGCGTTGTCGAATAGACTTCAATATGTTGATGTCAGCCTTGACCCGAGCCTTCCAGTATGTAGTCAATTGGCGCAACCTATGGATCCAAGCATCTCGGGTTTCAGTATTATAGGCACGTAATCTAACCACAAGCCCATCATCAAGTTCAAGCTCAAATACGTGATCGTTGTCACTATGAGAGAAACTGCTGGTAGTAGCACGGTTTGTAATAGAGCGCTGAGTCCCAAGATTTGTTCCATTTCTTTGGGTTCCTGTGCTTTCCGTCTCTGATACAGTTCTTATTTCGGTTACTCGGCCTAAATTGAAATATCCTTCCGTTTGGCTAAGGTTATTTGTATTTCGGCGATTCTCTGTGTATGCGGCTTGGTCACAGTACCTAGCATATGACTTATTACCTCCGTCATGTAGCCATGAAATCTGGCCATTTTTAACTGGATATGGGTCAACCGTATACATAACAGGAGTGCCTCTGATTGTTTCAGGTGCAGTGGAAGACCCAGCTTCGGGAACACTGGGACGTTTTGGGGCTGGAGGTATAGATGCCTTTGTTGGCTTGCAAAAGCAGAGGTATTGGTCCTCGCTATAGAAATATAAACGCTTGGAGAAGTTCTTTCCCCAGCGCCGATGGGTGCCTTGCTGGGAGGTGAGGAGAATTAAAAACCCTTCGATTGGAGAAGGTTCCTCCATCAGGGGTTCAGATGGTTCCACAGCCGTGGAAGTTGGATAATGCCGCTTCGGGCGCAGTTCCAAATCGTGTGAAGTTCTCATAGCCATTGTTCCATACATTCTCTCCTCATTCCCTCCTTGAATCCACTCTATCCGGTCATACCTCCGCCATGCTAAGCCCATCTTTTCAGACTTCTTCCATATATCAAGAATCTGAGACCATTCAGAACATTCCGTGAGTGTGTCCATGCAAGTGCGTATTATTCCCGTAGATACGGCTTGTTCCTCGCCCATTGAATTTAACAGAGTTCCTTCATTCTCGTCATAGTTATCCTTTGCAAACCGCTCAAACGGGTTTTGTAGAACAAGAGAAACATCAAGGTCAGGCGCATGGACGAATAGGCTGGAGGGCTGTTTCCAGCCCAAGACCTTTCGAATGAAGGTATACCATTCCACCGAATGTGCGGCCGCTCGAGCTCGCATAATGAAAATACGAGTACCGTCCATCTTTGTAGGATGCCACACAACAACCGTCTTGTCCAAAGTAGAGAATAGATTTACGTTGGCTTGGCCCTGGGAAAGTTTCACCTCATGTGCATATTTTCTCTTGACTTTAGCACCCTGAACCTGGGGTATCACACGCGTTTTGTAGAACTGGAGAAGGTACGGTGTTTGCTCGTCGTAGCCTTGTCGGCAAACTACAAGATACTCCCTCCAGTTTTCGACGGGTCGTGTTTCAATTTTAAGGCTGGCATTATCGTTATAGAGATTGGGCACAGTTTGAGCAGTAACATCGATCCGCACTAGCATTTTTTCTGCTCTAAGAACTTCTCCATGTCGACGAGTCTGTTGTTTTTGTTTTCTGTTGGTCCTGGAGTCATCAGATAGGCCAAGGTGGTTCTGTAGACGGCGTTGTCCATTCTCAATCCTCTCCTCTACTCCATAGCGGACTCGGTCAGAAATAACACGGTTAATAAGCTTGCTAGGTTGTTGAGACTCTGCCAATTCGGCTTCTGTCTGATCGGCTTCTCCTCGAGGCTCTTGAGGCTGTAACGCGAGTTGTTGAGGTTTTGGCTGCCTTCTTTCTCTTGGAGTAGAAGATGGTGGCGGTTTATTATGGGGTATCAAAGATGATAGTGACCCAACATCTGTTTCTAAACCTTGCCCATCGGTAGTAGATAGGGCTGATGTACCAGTGGTTGCATAGCTATTTCGATATGGTAATGAGGAGGAACTTTGCGGCTGCCCGCTTTCTGTACTCTTTCGATTTTGTGACTTGATGTTATCTTGTGGCATAGGGTTGACTTTGGGAGTTGTCGACTGCGGTTCAGTGTCAGGAGCAGTAAAATAGGCTTCGGGCACGTTATCGTCGGATGACATTCGTACAACAAGGCTGGAATTCGTAGCGAGAGGACTATTTTTAGGTCGCTGCTGATCTTGTATGCGTTTTATATTCGGGTGGGAGAGACCAAAGTATCCCGCATCTTCGTCCCTGCGCTGGGCTTCACGACCGGCGTCTATTGATCTTATTACCCTTGGTCCCACTTGGCTACCTCCTGCCGTTTGGCCATTCTCTACTGGTGGTTGCTGTTGGATTCGATTCTCTTGGTCCTGGTCCTCGTCTTGTTCCTCGTCTTGGTCTTCGACTTCGGCTTCGACATCATCTGGTTGTGGAAAGCTCGGCTTGAATCGTGTAGTTGAGGAAAGTCCCATGAATCGAGTTGACTGGCGCTGGTATCCAACAGACATATCTGCAGAGAATGTTTGGTTACGAGACGAATAATCTCTGATCCCAAGACATGATTTATACCAATGCCTCCTGCGGTTTTGGCCCCAGCCCTTGGGCAATGGCCCTATGAAGAAGCGTCGATTCGTGACATGTAGGTGCTCTGGCGATCCATGTTGCTGTGGTCTCAAGACGTTAGAGTCTGTCTATACTTTATATCGAGGCTTTGCATACCAATTTCTGCGCGGTGAAGGAACCACATTCCAAGGTGTCATGGTCGTCTCGGGAGCGAGACTGACGGCTGACGGTTGGAACTGGCTGCTCACTTGGTGGGCCAGTGGAAGCCATTTCCCCATAGCTGGCCACGGCAATCTTAGGTCACAAGGGGCTTCTGCGAGGCATCTGCGGCTACCGCTAACACGGCATTTTCCCAATGACCGTCGTTGTTGTCGTCGCTGAAGCCTGGGTCGAAACAAACTTGGCATCGAATTAAGGATTTAGGGTTCTGCCTATGACGTAACTAGGCTAGAACAGTAAATACCACAGCTGGCCCGAGCTTCCAGCCAGTTTGCAATGTTTGCATGTTTGGCTGACGTAATATCAGTCAGTGTCTTGGATTTAGACGCCCCGCCATTAAGGGGGATGGGCGGTGGGGACGGGGATAGTCGACTGCTCTGTAGTATTTCGCGTGTAACCTTCATTCCCCATCCTCCGTGAACCTCCTCTGCCACCAGAAAAATAGAGGAAGAATTTTGCTGCTCTCCTTTCAGTTCGAATAGAAGTTTGTGTCCATCACCATGGCTACTACCGCTACAATCCCAGAGGGTGGCACATGGCTGGACACCATGAAGAGGTCCTTCGAGGACGTCCCGGTTGATGAATCCTCCGACAATGCCATCTCAACCACCGAGTTCCTCGAAGCTGCTGAGTCCCTTGTTAAGCTATTTGGTAATTAGCCCACTGCCAGAGATGCCCAATAATGGTATATACTAATTATGCAATGTTTTCGACCTCTAGATATCCTCGGTTCTGTCGCTTTCACCCCTGTTAAGAATGATTTGCTGGGAAACATCAAGGTGTGCCCCCGATTTAGACTTGCAGGAAAGCTCCTTTAAGAACAGATAACTCACGAGAGATTGCGTTATGATATAGAAAATTAGAGACCGCCATCTTGCTGCCCCTGCGGAGTCTGAAACTCTTCAGGCCCTTGTTCTCAACGAACTGAAGACCAAGCAACACAAAGCCACTGAAGGCTTAGTCTGGCTTATTCGGTAATTACTCCCGGTGCTTGAAAAGCATTCATACATCCAGCCAAGTTGCTTACTATGGAAATACGTACAGAGGCCTTGACTTCACCGCCCAAGCTTTCAGCAGGAACCTCTCTATGGAGAGCGAAGAACTAGCTTCCTCTTTCCGAGAAGCGTATACCAACACCTTAAAACCACATCATAGTTTCGTGGTTAAGCCAATTTTCAGTGCTGCCATGTCAGCAACTCCGTACAGGAAAGATTTCTATGCGAAACTCGGAAGCGATGAGCAAAAAATACACGCAGCGATGAAAAAGGAGATTTGTGCCTTGGAGAAAAGAGTAGCAATCCTAAATGAGTTCCTGGCACGAAAGGAGGCTAAATGGTAAAAAGACTTTTGCCAATTTGGACTCGATTATACCTTCTCTGCCCGGTGGTGGTAAGGTATATTGTTGATAGGCTCTCCTGAACATAAATATAAATGGATATCATTTTAAACTAAAAAAGTAGTGAATAGACTATGCTTGTAAGTATCAATAGCTCCATCTCCTTTAGTTTTCGCGAGTATGTATGTACTTGTTAATCGTCATAAGTTATAACCGAAGGTAAATAAAGCAACCCTGAAGCTCTGTCTGAAGGTGGATTGTAAAAGACCACAGCAAAATAAACATTCAGAAAGGTATACGGCCGTCAACAGCCGAGATGGAGGAAACTTTTTGGAAATAAAGGAGATGGAAGATGGAGGAGATTGCCTCCTCAGCTGATCAAACTCAGCTCACCTCGTTCAACGACCAACCGGATAACTTCTTTATTCAGGCCAGCCCAGTGTTTCTTACCCCTGATGAACCAGTACAGGATCGCAGACAATGTGCTAAATGCAAAAATTGGCAATGAATAATTCATGTTCTGCGCACTAACTGGCAGTAGAGAGGGGAATGGTAGCCAGATCGTCACATATGCGGTGTAAAACATCGCAAATATATTGACAGCCAGGCCATATCGGCCCATGTTCCACTCTCCGAGCTCCAAGGGGCGATCCCGGGAGAAACGCGCAATTACCATGCAGCCAATTGCGATGAAGTAGGAGCTAAACAGTCCGATGGTTGAGAGGGCGATAAGGGCGCCAAAAGCAGTAGTACTGGCTATGTTTAGACAAGCGAGCACCATGACGATAACAATAGAAAGCCAAACAGCGCGAACGGGGACACAGTGTCTTTGATCGATCTGGCATTACTATGGTCAGTATGGAGATACAAGATGGAACAACGCAGGATGATACCTACCACTGAGAACCACGCTGGGAGACCTCCGTCTCGAGACCACGCCCAAGTAAGACGTGAAGTCGATGCAATACTGGCAAGGTTAACAGCAAGAGAAATTATGAGCAGACCAGATACCATGGCTGTTGCAGCCTTCACAGAGCCGGTAGCTTGTCGACATATTTCGATAATGGGGAAGTTTGACTTCAAGACACCGTCGATGGGGCCCATGGTGAAAAGGATAGTAATTATTATTGCATATGCAAGAACCCCGTTTGTTGCAACAGTCCAGACCATAGATCTGGGGACAGCCTGCTTTGCTCGACGGACTTCTTCGCTCATGTGGACTGCTCCGTCAAAACCTGATGCAAGTATCCGTTAGTATCTGCCTGCAGATATTAATTGGCAAGGGGCTTACCCTACCTACAAAGCCCCAGGTGGGAGTGAGCAAGCCCAGATTCCAAGAAATGAATTCGTTGTTCCATCCCGAGGAGGATGAGTGATCTCCAAAAACCCATCCAGGGGTATGGCGAGGAGCCATAGACACAAGCACAACGACAAAGACAATGAAAAGAACCACGTGTAGGATTCCGGCCAGAAGTTCGACCCAGGGAATCAACCAGAAGGTGTACATGTTCATCAACCCTTCGACGATCAACATGGCAAAAATGATGAATGTAAGATGCCACCTCTCAGGCTGATAGTCAGGGAAGTTCACAGTCACTAGACCTTGGATCATAGTGGCCGTTGTGTTGGCCACGCCAGCAAGGAGTGACACCCAAGCAAACCAGGTAATCCAGCCTATATACAATATGTTAGTGGACAATGCCCCTTGATATAAAATAGGAATAGAACGATGAGCCAGAGAGTGAGATATACATACCTTGCATCCAAGTAATAAACTTTCTGTGCTTCTGAGGAGCTAGGTAATGAGTCCAGTGATATTGAGCGCCAGCAATGGGCTGCATGGAAGCCATCTCTGCCATAGAGGCGGACTGAGCCAACCCGCCGGCGACGACGACAATAATACCCCAAGCCAGAGCTCGAGGGCCACCATTAGTAAAAACAGCAGTTAAGTTTCTAGGGAAAAGCAATCATAGTAGTGGAGTCAGTTTATGCAGATATCATGCAGGATAATTTGAGCCATGTTAATGGACATACAGGGCCATCGACTCCCAACTGGACATAAACGTCAGGGAGAAGAAGAAAATTTGAGTGAAATTGAAAAGTTGCTAGTAGATTTATTGTTAGCCAGATAGTGTATAGGAACAAACAAAAGACGGGCTCTAAGGGGGTAAATCACCTTCACTTTCGACTGGTCTGCGGCAGCTTGGTTACCAGCAGCAGCAGCGGCCGGAGAGCCTGGCTCAGCCATTGTTTTCGGTTTGATGCCTTTCTCTGAATTGCTGCCATACGGCTTCAAACAGTAGCCCTCCTTCCTGTCCAAGGAAGTGAGACTATTCCCGTCCATTCTCAAAGGGAGGGCTATCAACAGGGGCCGGTTAGAAGGGCCAAAGTAGCAAAGAAAAGGGAGGATATCAAGGGACGAGGACAGTGGATAGACTTGTATCTATCCCCCAGAAAAAGGTATCCAGAAACGACAGAAAGAAGCAGTAGATAGGAGGAAGAAGCAGAGGAAGACCTGTGCATGGGAGCAGGGAGAGTAGAATGAAAGAAAAGGAGAGAGGGAGGGAGGGGAAAGGCATAGAGAAAAAGGAGAGCAGGAGCTGACTTTTGATTAGATGCTGTGTGATCCATCTTTTTGTCCATCACAAAGAAAAAGAGCACCGTCTCGTTTGGATGTCAAACATGGGCATCGTTCTTTGGCATCGTGAGTCGACTGGTAACATCATCTGCCTTGGGCTAGACACGAGCTGCAGGATATTAAAATCCATGTTTGCTTTTGCGCCAGACAATATTTCCCCCAAACTTCACGGCGCCCCTGGTCGAGTAACTAACGAAGTAACGAATACTTCGTTACTCGGTACGGGACGAGATACTTTGCGACTTGATGCCAGTGGCACGATACCATTTATTCACCCCCCGTTACTCCGTAAACGCTGTGGCCTCCTCGACCAGAGTTTACCTGCTCAGGGGCAAACGGGCCAGAATCAGGATAACCAAAAAGCACCTGAAGGATCCTGAAGGTGACGAAGACAAGAAGCTCGCTTCGCTTGTTGGAAGCGCCACAGCAGGGGCAATGCTCCCACTCAGAGCGAGCAACTCCAGCTCTTCCAAGTTGGCTGCGAGTTGGGAATATCAGATGGATCGCCCGCCAAACCTGGACTGGGATGGCTACACAAACAAAGCCATGGCGACCATGCCCATGTCGGGGCTTCGAGAGGGAGACAAAGGTGGTCAACAAAGTGGCGCCGTTGAAAGGGCTTTTCTGGCATGAGATGTGCGAGATGTGCGAAATGCCGGCCAGTTACATATGCCTGGATCGCCTGTGATTGCTGGTGGTTACGGGAGATGTTGTTGCACCTGGCCTCCAGCTCCGACCTCCCGCAGGAAGAAGCAAATGCGCTGGAGCACAGGTGACAAGAAGAACAAGAGAAGAAGCAAAAGAAGACCAGGAGAAAAGTGAGGAGCGAGATGCCTATCCTGACGCTAGTGATGGGAGCACATTTCACAGGAAAAGTGACCAGTCGACCAGTTCTCCTGGTCGTCGTTGAAATCTCAGCGGCGCGGCTCAGGCACAGATGCAACTCTATCGTTGCGGGTCTCCTGGGTCCCTAGCCGAGGGATCTACGCCGCTTCGCCTCTACTTTTAAATGCTTCAAAGAAAACCGTCATGCTGCTGGTGTGGGAGGGATGATATGGCTCAATTCAGAGTCGGATTCGGACATCGAACAACGATATATATCCAGCTCTATACCACCAGCACGAAGGCTTAGTGCAGCGCCTGTGCAAACATATTGACTGTGTCCCCTCAACAACGGAATAATTGCTTGATATCCATCATATATGGGTCGTGATGTCTAAACGGAGTGTAGACCCGCTCTATCAGCCTTTTATACAGCCGACGTCCGAGAACCACAGCCCGTGGGTCATCGTATCAACCTGTTTGTTCATGATTATTACCGCCTCCGTGACGGCCACAACACTCATCGCGCGGTTCAGGGTTCTCAGAACACTGGCATGGAGCGACTGGTTCCTGCTTTTTGCTGCTGTATGCATCCTCCCTTCTGGTTACCCGGTGACAATATTCCTCCTTCTTTCAAGAAGACGAACTTAATACTGACCGGAAAAGTGTTTGTCAACCGCTGAGGGAATATGCATAAACTTCGCCTGTTTACGAGGCCTGGGGCGGAAGCCAAGTGCTCTTCGGCATATGCCAATGGAAGGGTTTGAAATTGTATAAAAATGTTTTCCTCTCTCTGCTTTGCACATATTCACTGAACGGATTACTGATATGTCTCTCGGTCGAGTAGCTTATATACATCAGTCAGATACTGGCTCTTACTTCACTGGCATGCTCAAAGGCCTCCATTACTCTACTTCTCATTTCGATCAAGCCATTGAAATGCATCCTATTGATGTGCCGCATTCTCCTCGGGGTTTTGGCTCTCTGGGGGTTGGCTGGTGTTTTATCTCTTTCACTGCAGTGCGGGCTCGCCCAACCATGGAAATCAGGTGAAAATTGCTGGCTCAACCAATACGCCCTGCATGTTGGTCTTAATATAGGAAGCATGATTACAGATTTCGCGCTGGTCCTTCTTCCATTTTTATTTGTGTCCCAGGTGCAAATACCATGTATCAAAAAACTTGCTATTGCTGCACTTTTTGGCATGAGACTGATGTAAGTCAGCTGGAGATTGAGACAGAGAGATGGATGAGAGCTCCTCGATAATCATCGACTAGAAGAGGATCACCGGGCTAACATGAAACTACAAATAGTGTCCCATCTTTTACTATTGTGATGACTATTACATCACGCTCCTACTTCGCTTCCTCTGCATCTGAGAGATCATGGCTGGCCGTTATGCCGACTATCTGGATGCAGGCTATTCTCTGCATTTCAATCGTGGCCACTTGCATTCCAAACCTAAAACGACTCCTGGCTGTCCTCCGAACTGGGCTAATGGCCGGGACAGTCAATGAGTTCTATGAGCTTTCAGTTTCTGGGGGAGATAGCAAGACTGTTGCTTCTGCATCCCAGCTACGTTCTGGCAAAACGTCCTATTCGAAAGAGAACTACGGTACCGGTACACCCCGGCCCTCAACCTCCGGTGGTAGCGTTTCTGGGACACCCACCATGTCTTCTTTTACAGGGAAAGCTCACGCAATGCGCCATCTACATCCGGATACAGCTTATACTATGGGGAAAAAGGAACCATATGATAACGCATATGTTGTCGAATCCAAAATACCTAGCTGCAAAAGGCCGATACTCAAATTACAGGGTCTTCTTTGGGAGCGGAGTTTACGGCCAGGAACCACTCGGGCAAAGGTCACTGACCGCGGTTCGAGTCTCGACGTCTTGACAGCACGATGAAAGATGTCTTTCCTGTGTCTCCTGCCTCTGGTAGGATCAAATTTGTGATGAGCAAGCCTCAATTGCACAGAACGGAATGCTCGGAGGTGTCGATTCAAGACAAATTATTGGCACACAAAGAGTACATCATACCGGGTGCACCACGCCTGAGAGGCAAGTCGCCTCATTAGGCACCGTGCTGAGTGCTCAAATTGAACATATGGGTACTTGGCTCCCCTAGCTCGCTCTCAGGTAACCAGGAGATTGGTGCCCCATTTGTCAGCTCTTGTACAGCATATACTTCCCTATGTATATATTGAAAGAAAGGGCACGAGACGTTATTTTTGTCTTGCTTCATCCTGCTCGACCTCTTTCCGGAGGAGTATTACAGCCAATGAGTCTGGGCGCTTCATCCGGCTGGTACAACATCCCCTTAAGCAGTGTAACGTTTAGAACGGTCGATCTATTCAATATCATTTCCCGTTATTGTGCCTATCACATTTCAATTTCGATTTCAATTTCAATATTGTGCTATTCTCCTGTCAGGTACGGATGTGATCGAAGAACGTCCGGTAGGCGATTTGGTCGCCTTTCCAAGACGCGTGGCATGAATTCTATCATTTAGGACTGGAGCGTACGAAATATAGATAATTGCTTTTCAGTGATATACTGTGAAGGAGTGGCCCGGTACGTAACCAAGTAACTGCCTAGTTACACAGAGAGCTGCGCCGATATCATAGCTAACCACGGAGGGAGCGGCTGACTAGTTGCCGAAGCAGGGCTGAAAACATCATAGCAGATATTCAGTCAAATATCTTGGAAGCGGTTGCTTGCAGGTACTTAGTTAGCTGATCTTCCCTCGTATCCTCGCTAGTTACTATTGACCATAAACGGAGATTCCATGTTTCTGGAAAGGCTGGAAAGTGATGTGCTGATGAGACTGATTCCACGGATCCTTTATTTTTATCCCCTTTATCACTGCCTGAGCTGAACGCCTCCTTCGGAAAGCCGGGGACACAAAGAAACCAACTACTTGATGAGATGAAAAAAAAAAAAAAAATAAAAAATAAATAAAAAAAAAAAATAAAATAAAAATAAAAATAAAAAAATGCGAGGACAACCCAATTATAAACATGCAAAATTGACCATTTATCAAGAGAAAACCGTACTTATCATTTTTTTCCCCCCTTCCCCGTTTCCCTCACTCATAACACAAAATTTTTGCTTCTTTTTCTTTTCTTCTTCAACCCTGTTTGAAGCATGATATGAAGGCGACGTACTGAGTAACAGTCATCGGAGGGGGAAAAATGAAGAGGTTGACATGATCCTATGACATCTATGTGCTTTTCTCGGCTTCTTTCTGTTTTTCCTTGTCCTCTTCTTCTTCTTGCTTCCTCTTTTCTTCGGCCGCAAGTTGGTCAGGTCTCCTCACGGCAATAGCCTTTGGCTTATAGTCACTGAAGTTGGTCTTCAGTATGTTCTCCACAAGCCAACAACCAACGTAATCCAAGATCATGGTCAGTGTGAGCCTGACCCTGAATCCAGGTTCAAATGGAACCAGTCTGAGTTTAGTGTTGAGCTCTGGGATAAATTCGGTCGCGCAAGACAGCGCTACACCCGAGGTTAACACGAGTCCCCAGTACATAGCGCGATTTTCACGAATGGACTCTCTGAATGGCCGGCCCTGATAGTTGATTGAGAATGTGGAAATTTGCTGGATAAGCTGCAGCAAGTAGATGGCACTGTTAAGAAGTGACGGCTCGAATTCGCCCTCCAGATCAATCTTTTCCTTGCGTCTAATTTTGCTCGGTTAGAATGAAGTTTACCTATACATGTAGGGGTAAAAACTGCGCTGGGGAACTTACGGTTCGATGGAGTATACGTATTGTGAAATGTAAATCAGAGTAACAATGTGGATCGCGAACTGGCCCAGAATTGATCCCATGATATATATGTTGAAAATATTTGGTTGGGGTCGTTCCTTCGATAGTCCTTCAACTGCCTATTGTAGTGTCAGCGGGGATATCATATCAGAAAGAAAATGGGGTAAGGTTTCTGAGGCATACTTTTGCGCGAGATATGGAGAAGAAGCACACGCTCATCAACATTCCACTGATAGTGACTTGTCCATCTCCGAATTTAATGCCATCAAGGTAAATGACACTCAAGCTGTAGGCACTGATTAGACAGTTTAGTGCAAGAATTTTATACATCTGAATTGTGGCAACTAGAGTGCAACGTCCTTGTCGAATAATATTCGGGATAGCAATGACATTTGCCAATTTACTCGTGAAAGGAGCAGCAACGGACGCATCGCCGAGTTTCAAAGTCGGCGGTTCGTCCTCATCCATCCCTTCCATCATGGAGGCGCTTAACTTATCAGCCAGGGACGAAGCAGCAAGAGATGCTTGCTTTTGCTTTCGTTGCTGAGGAGTTAAGTTGGTGTCATCAGGCTGTTGTAACGCTTGGGCTCCAGGAGATGTAATAGTTGGTACCCCATTGACATCTGAAGGTGCTGTTCCAGCTGCGATCTTCTTTTGGGCTTCACGCAACATGGCCGTCTCATAATGAGGGTTGTTCGCACCAGGTGGATACAGATGGGCGATATGAACTGGGACGGGCGGAGCCGGTTGATTGAATCTTTGCATCAGCTGCACTTGCTTTTCATAAATCTCCTTCATTTTTGTATTTCTGAAGTGCTCGGAGATTTTATTGAGGTCTTCTTGCGTTCCATTTAGTAGGGCGACACCAATATGAGCCTGTTTCAAGGCTCCGACATCGTTGGTACCGTCACCACACATCAAGGTAGTGTATCCAGCTTCGTTCATAGCGAGAAGTATCTCCTCTTTTTGTTTGGGGGACACTCGGGAGTATACCCAAGTATATCGAATTAAGTCGAGGAGACCTGGTTGGTCTCTGAACTTTTCCAGGGCATATCCAGTAACGCATAGATCTTTCTCGGCTAGGATAGATGGATCGATTGGTTTAGAGGGGTCAACATCAACGCTGAATTTATCATCCACACTTCGCCATACGACCTTTGTGCCACTGGTATCATGTTCAGGGGCATCAAGAATGAGAACTTCGCGGTCAATAATTTCCACTTTCTTCGCTACATGAACGGCAGTCAGAGGATTGTCTCCGGTGATCATGACAACTCGATGGCTACTCTCGTTGAGCATTCGCACGGCTTTGATAGCGTCGTCTTTTAACGGACATTGTAATATTAGGAACCCAGCGAAATGCAATCCCGACTCAACCTCTTCACGCTTCAGGTTGTTAATGCGACTTTGTCCAATTTCGGTGTCGGAAAGGAATTTGTATGCCAATGCAAGGACCCTTGCACCATTGCGGGTAAAATGCTTGAACGTTTCTTCGTAATATGGAGGAGTGGACACAAGCATGGTGCTTATGGTTTCAGGGGCTCCCTTGACACCAACGAAGGTAGCTTTGGACCGCTTGGATAAACGTTTGTCGAGTATGTTCACAATAGCTACAGTGCTTTGGCGCTTCAATGCTGAAGAAAACTGGAATCTTCGTTTAATGTTAACTGATTCAAGTAGATTGTCGCCTGTTCTTCCAGCGGAACCGGCTTTGCTTGTCAATGTATCATTCTGGCCAAGGGTCCATCCCAGAGATGTCAAAGTCGCTTTTTCCATTGGGTCACCAACGATCTCGCCTTCGTCAAGCTTTACTAGTGCGTGCGCAGTAGCAAGAACGAGGGTCGTGTTGTCATGTACATCAGTAACTTTGGCGACTGTCGTGTGTGCCCCATATTTGTCTGTGGGTACCCCTGTTTGGCCAAGAGTCAGGCCCGCAATGCCATCAACCACTAGATCTTCTCCTGTGAGAGTCCCGGTCTTATCGAAGCAAGCAATATCAACGCGTCCAGCATATGGAATTCTGAATGGTTCAGTACAGAAGATTGCAAATCTGCTGAGAGCCGCGAGACTGGTATTGACGGCAAGGCTTAGTTCCATTGGAAGCTCTGGGGGTACGACACTGGTGATAATCAAAACACAATCGAGAAGAAGTTTGGATCGTTTTCGATCTTGAGCAACGCCTTCAACCCAAACATACCAAGAGGCTGCAATGGCAAAGATCAAGAGGAAGAGGATGAACATGAATGCTTCCACATTGTTAGCAGAAACAGGTTCCGTGGAATATATCATTGTTCGAACAAGGCTCCCCTGGCTGGTTTCGAAGCCAGTACGGATAACGATTCCAAGGGCACCATTGTCAGGTGCGGCAGATGCCCCATTTAAGGGCTGATAGCCACTGTCTTGCCCAGCTTGCGCATTCGGATGGGTGATTTGCAGGACCTTAGTGCCTCCGTATAGGAACGAGTTCTTATCTAAGCCATCTGGTTCAATCCGGTCATTGGCTGGTCGTAACTGGATGGAATCCTTAAGTAGAGGGGTACTCTCTCCAGAAAGCATGGCTTCGTTAACAATAGCGCTTCCCCATACAAGTAATATATCGCATGGAACCCCACTATCATCTTTAGTCCGATTGATTGACACCAGATCTCCTGGAAGGAGTTTTTCGCTGCTCACTTCCACCCATTTATTATCTCTGAAAACCCAGACATCATAAGGCTTGATGCTCATGCCTCGGAATTCCGTGAGAGTTCTCTGTCGTTGCCATACCACAGTACTCTCAAATACCACCAACATAACTAAGGTAAACAGCGAATAGTACCAGTACTCATCCAGAAGCCAGAGGCCCACACAGAATACTTGGAAGACAAAAAATGGAGCAACCGCATGTTCCTTGAAGAGCTCTACAAAGGTGGGCACCGGAATGTCGAAGGTGTTGTCTCCATAATGCTGTTGAACATCATCAACCTTGGCAAGCGAAGTAAGACCGCGGGATTCCTGGAAGTATCCCAACGTTGGCTTTGGCTCAGTATCAAGAACATACTGTAAGGGGGTAAAACAACCCTTCTCCAGATTGTATCGGAAGCGTCTCTTTTGGAACAAGAATGAGACAACCTCGGTTCCTCCAATATTGTCCTTTACAAGCTTGCAAATCTCCGCAGATCCTGCGTTTGCAGCCGGGATGACTTTGATAAGCTCTGCCTCGTTAACGGATTTGGCAGGTATGGTAGTGAAGAGCGCGTCAATGTTGATGTTCCACTTCGTCATTAACCATAGCAGAGCTTGTAGGGTCGCAATAGATCCAGTCCATAAAGCGGCCCACTCGGGGCCCTGAATGTATGCCTCATATCGTTCTGGAGAAAGGTAGAAGGCAAGAAAAACCGGCCATAATATCGTAAATGGCCAAACGTAGATGCGGAATTGGACCGGCAAGGGGTTCCGGAGAGCCGCAGATTGAATCTGCGGGTTATCTATAAGTTTAGACCTGTGAAACCAGACAGTTAGTTAGGCAACATGCTGCTTTCTTTCCCCGGGGGTTGGAACTCACATATGTGTGGACTCGAGCTGACATGTGTCTCTGCGGAACCAGTAAATTACATTAAAATGTCTATTAATGGCCGGGGGGACAGCAGATAAAGAAAATTCAAGAGAGATCGTTTATATCGTCCACATCAGTATCATAAGGGCGCCGGATGTTAAGCGTATGGAGGTGGTTCGCGAGGCTGAAGATGGTAGAAATAGCAGCAGCTCCTTTTCAATGACAAAAACGCAACTTGGACTTTTCGTGGCTTCATCATTGATTACATAATGAGGCTGGTGAGTTGAAATAAAGTTAGGTTTTCGGATTATCAGGAGCCAATAGGAAAAGCGAAAACCGCTTATCTCAGCATCCCGAGTCAAACGGGCCCATAATTCTGATTACATAAGTCGAAACAATGGGGCAAAGACGATTTTGACTTTTTGGGAACGAAGGGCGAAGCAGCATCATAAGTGCCTGCTCACCGTCAAGCCGTTCGATACAGCCGCACCAGCATGCGTGAGGGCAAGCTGTTGCTCTCTACAACCCTCCGCAGACCATGCCTAACCGATCTATAGGCGGGGGCAGAGTTTTAGGTAGTGGACGGTCGATAAATCCTGCTCCGCCAAAACCACTGCCCAAAACTAGCTCATCGAATGCGATATCGCCGTCTGCTAGCAGTGTCTCTTTGGCTTCCCAGACCTCTAACTCGCAGGTATCGTCTGATACACAGGATCTATCCTCGAGGGTCTTTCTAAAAAATGGAGATTCGTCCATAGCCAAGGCTTCCCGCAGCACTGGGGCGCTGGTTTGCCCTATCTGCAACGAAGGGATGGTAAGATATCTTGTGTCTCCTTTTATGTCTTTTGGATTGCCTGGGTACTGATACTCTCATAGGTGACACTCTTACAGCTGAATAGGTAATTACGCATGACTTATCTGTTACTCCGACACGTGAAACTCACTCCTTCATCCCAGACATCTCGACGACGAACATCGGAATCTCGAAGATGAGCAGCAAGTGGAAGTGAAGGACTGGTTCCAGACACAGGTCGAAAAGGCCAAACGATTTCAACCACTTGCTGTACTCAACCAGAAGCTGAAAGGCCTGGAAGTCTTTGAATCTAACCAAAACACTCAACTTTTACCACCGTCAACACGACCCACCGCTGAAAGCTCGGTTTCCGAGGCCGCTAAACCTATCGACCCTGATGACCTGATAACGAAGTCTCACTGGCAGCAACGGTCACTTAATGATGTTTGCCTGGATCCCATGTGTGAGAAAAGGCTTACCGCAACAAATGGCTGTATCAACTGCAGAAAATGTGGCCGTCTATTCTGCGAGGATCACACCATGTATCAGATGAAGCTTTCGAGGTCTGCTCAACACGAACCAGTACGGGGGTTTTGGTGCCGCGTCTGTGAAACCTGCTACAAGTCGCGAGAGGGTTATAATGATTTTACCGGTAAACATTACACTACCGCCTGGTTTACACTTTCCCAGTGCTAAAATCTGTTTAGGAGCGGAACGTGACCACACGGATACGTTTAAGGCCCTTAGAAAACCTACAGTTGACAAAGCCTTCCTAGAAATCTCCCGGCTGGAAAAGAGATTGACACGTCTAACTCAACTACTTGCCGGGCTACCTCTAGAGCAAGTGCAGTCTAAAAGATGGGCCATTGGTTGGCAAACAGACCAGAGGAAAGCACTCGAACAGTCTGTCGTCAGTTGGCAAGATGATGTGGAAGTTTCCAACTGCCCTTTTTGTCAGCAGGAGTTCTCTGCGTACATATTCCGAAGACATCATTGCAGAACATGCGGTAGGGTTGTTTGTGGCGATCCGGCAACTGAATGTTCTTCTTTAATAAGCCTTGATGTGGCCAAATGTATGTTTGACTATATTGTTTGCTCTTGTTTGGTGCATACTAACCACAAAAGCCCAACCTCGACTATCAGAAAAGCCGGCTCCAGATAAAATTAACCTCGACGTGCGATTATGCAAAGATTGCAAAACCACCATATTTAGTAAACGAGATTTCATGGAAGATATCGCCAAAGAGCCACCGGATGTCCGCGCTTATAAAAACCTTGTCCAGTTCGAACGAGGGATTAGGCTGTTATTGCCGAGATTTCACAAGATTCTAGCAGCTCTTCAGTTCGTTTCCCCTCAACTCGACAATTCCCGTGGCTGTTTTCTAACTATATATACAACTAGAGACCCCGATAACCCTCCAGAGCCGGCTCAACTAACTGAGGCGTCTAAAGTCCGTAAAAGGCTAATTGACTCTTTTGCTCAATACGATGTAGCCGCAAGGCGCATTCGTGACCACCCAACAGAATCGCCAACACAAGCAAAACTTCAACAAGCAATATACCATCAAGCCACAAGCTTCCTCCACTTGCATATGCTTCCACTCAAAACTCTTCCCAAAATCCTGAAACATGCCACTCCGCACGGCAGGAATTTCAGTTTTGATTCGTCATCCTCAGATGGCAGGCGCATGAACGGGGGCAATGCCCAGCCCCGTTCCCTTGCGTCCATTAAATACGGCAATCCAGACCAGGGTGGCAGCACCACTAGCCTAGCTAGTAATAACAGCAGTGCACTCTCAGCGCTTGAAGCGGAAGAGAAAGAACTCCGTGATCGGCTCATTGTTCTTGAAGAACAGAGGTTTTTCGTCTCGGAAATGATTGCCGACGCCAACAAACGGCGTAAATTCGACGAGGCAAGCAGCCTTGCTCAAAACGTTGCGGATTTGAATAAAGAAATAGATCATGTCAATGGCATGATCAGCCAGTTAGACTTTGAAGGGCTATTCACTGGCGATTCAGGCCAGTGATGATTGCATCGTTGCATTCCTTTTCAGCTATATCCTTGCAAGTTATCTTTTCCAACATTCAGCTCAGTGACTGACCACTGGTATTGCAATTTCTTGTTCTTCCTTGAAGCGTTCCTCATTTTCAAGAGTGGGTGGCTGGCGTTCGCTTTTGTTTCTCTCATTTCTCCCGAGAGTAATATTAATGACCCTGATGATTCAAATCTTACCCAAGTTCCTGGCAATATTATTTATCTACTATCTACATATCTGCATGCACATCCAATTTCAGATTTGCTAGTTACTATTAGCTAGAGCGTTATTGTTCATAATAGCAAGTACCTTCATTATAATTCGCCAAATTTACGGCTCCTGTAGATTTCAAGTGGCCCAACTTTCTATCGGGAACCTTCTGGATGAGCGATACTATATCGGGGATAATAATAACATAGATTAGACAAATTTACAAAAAGATTAGCAGACTCGTATACGACGCATAAACTAGGATAATTAAACGATAGGAAAAAGACGTGAAAAGTGTGAATAAACAGCAACCTCGTTTACGCGTTCCCGTTCGTCTCCTGGCTGGCCTGACCTTCTTCATTTGCCGGTGCAGTAGAAATGCCCTGCCTTTCCATCAAGGTATTAACCAACTGAGTGAGTTGTCTGACCTGTTCCTTTAGCTCTCTAACTTCCAAGACACATTGGTCGACCTCAACATTAGGCTTAGTTTTGGTAACAACCTTATCCCAGGCACCAGTGTCAGGATGGTCGTCAATTCTCTTGAAGTCAAACCCTGCGGATTCAGCGGCATTTTCCCATTCTTCTTGGGTGTCGTCGTCTTCTTCGCCTAGACGACGGTTGAGTCTGATCCGTTGAGCATTGGCTGATTCAAGCAATGCGGTAACTAAGAGGAGAGGAGAGTATATGATGCCCATGACGTAGTTGTTGAGTTTGTCATAGCGGTCAGAAGGCATCCACCATTCGAAAGGAATGATAAGACAGACGATTTCGATCAAGTTCAGTGCTGGATGGTTGGTTAGTTAGGTGAAAGGCTAGGAAAGGAACCCGGAGTTGTGAGGAAGGCTACATACGGGCAATAAAGACATTCTCATCGGGAGCTCGGACATATTGGAGGGTTCGATGGGCAAAGAGGCCCATGTATTCATTAATTGCGTTACCAGTAATGTCCTCATAGGCACTGTTATACAGAGCAATCAAGATATTGAGCAGAACTTTATAAAAAGGTTAGCAGGATAAGTATAAGTTAGGGAAGGAAATGATAGTACTCACCAACCATCACCACGAAAGTGAATAGGTAGTAAAGCAGGATACCGAAAGGTGGAGCAAAGGCCTGGAACGCATCGAATGAAGGGTTCTGCAAGACTGTATTGGCCATTCCCTGAAGAAGCACAACAGCAGTCATGTTACTGTCAGGGTCTGCCTGATCCATTCCAACAAATCCTTGCAAGAAACCAATGATGACAACGGCCAAGAGGGCGAAAAAGATCAAGCTCTCCTTCATCATGACCTTCAGTACCACGAGCATTGCACCGAAGAAACGGTAGGTATCAAGGTAGAGGAGCAGTCTACCCCAGAACATCGGAGCCGAAAAGGCAAGGAAGTTGTAGCTCAGCTGGTTGTAGTAGTTACGGGTTTCGTTGTCGACATCCTTTGAATGAGTCAAGGCCACTATCCGGAGGACGAAGGAGACCAGGAGCAGACAGTAAAGGGTTGAATTGAAGGCGTTCCAGAATCCAAAGTAGAAACGGCCGACTTTCCAGAACTTGGTGACCTCGTCGAGGATGAAGCCTAGAGTCATGCCATAGAGAATGCATTCTGCCACGTCTAGGTCACCAGTCGGATTGACGGTGTTAATCACAATGGTGAAGAGGACAAGGTAGAGGATGGAGAAGAAGACCTGGACGGCATTCTGGTAGACTGATGCCCTGAGTCTGTCTGGGTTGAAATGGGACCAGTAGGAAGGATTGTTCCTCTCCCTGTACTCGATGAAGTTGGTGGGATCCTGGTCGTCCTGGCACAACCAGCCCTGCCACAGGTACTTGATGCACTTCTGGTATCCAGCCGACCCGATCACAGTCAATGCATGGAGATCGACTGCACGCTCAATAACGTTTGCAGGCGAAGTCGGCTCTCCATCTCGCAGAATCGAGTACCGCTTGAGGAGCACCTCGAGCATGAGGTAGTCCTGGTCGTCCTCTGACTCAATCCTACCAAAATTGTTAGATATATATATTTCCATCTACGGCAGTGAAAATCGGAGGGGCCAGCAGCATACTTACACTCGTTTGGCAAGGATCTCGCAAGCAACAGCGCGCAGGTCGTGGAGATCAGAGTCCCAGAGCTCGACCAGTGCCTGGATCTTGAACCATCGCACGCAGACAAGCAGACAGAAGACGACACAGGCGCGGTACTGCTCTCCACCAGCCTCTTTGGCAGTCTGGATAACCTCCTTGGTGATGACAGTGCTGTTGGCCTTTGTAATGAGACTCTCCTCCAGCTCGCAGCAGACGACCTGCTCGACTAGATGCTTAAGCCGCAGAGCTACCTTTGTCACCTCCTTCGCTGGCAGAGCGGGCGTGATGACCTGGTCGCGAGTACGAGGAAGTACTATATCATCGATCAGAAGGTGTTAGCGACTGTGCTCCAGGCCTCAATTGACTGCCCGTCTGCTCTGGCGAGAAGTGACATACATCGGCGGGTTTCTTGCAGGTACTGGTGCCGGCCTCGACGAGGCTCGCCGCTGAACAACCGCCCCCATTGAACCATCTTGAGAGTCCGGCTAGAGAACAGGGAGCAGACACTCTAGCAAACGAGAGATGAAGAGGGAGTCAAGGGTTTAAATGGAGGATGGCTGGTCGTTTAAATAGGCAGATCTTCCCTCCCTCTCGCTCTCGCTCTCACTCTAACCCCCGGCTTGCTTGGTGTTTTGGCCCGCGAGGGGGGCTGGTCCATGTTTTAGTTAGAAATAAGTGACTTGGCTACCTAGCTAGCTAGCTCGATGCGCCAGTGACGTCGCCACCGTACACCGGAGATGACAATAATAATGGAGAAGAAGGCGATGGCGCATGGAGAGCGCTGCCGTTAGGTTGCAGTGGTGCTGGCAAAGGGCAATACGATTGGCGTGAGGGAGGTCTCTACGGGGTCGGCCGGCCAAGGGCTGCCTTCGTGCTCTCTCACCCGAGCTATCAAAAGACAAAGACCAGCCATCAGCTCGTGGCGGAGGAGGAGTCTTCATGGTGAATGTTGAAGTAGGTTGTTCATTTCATGCTCGTTTGCTTTCTTAACATGCTCTGGTTGGAAGCCAGGCAGCGCATTCATGCTTCGCCCAAATTGTTGCTTTTTATATCCCACGGTCCATATTCTAAAGCGGCAGACTGGTAATCCAGACATAGGAAAAAGAAAAGAGAAGAAGGGCATGGGAGAAGAAGAAAAGAAGTTGGCAAGACGGGTTGGAAAACTGTACAACTTTTTTTTTTTTTACTTCGACAACGCCCTCGTCACTCTCGCTGAAACTCTCGTCTCCGCTGACTTCTTGGTTCTCGCGCTCCCTCTTCTCCATGAGAGCTTGTAGGTCGGCATCATCTTGCTCTGTGACAGCCTTGGGCGCCATCTGGATGACGCAGGAACCTCCGCTGGACTTTATCTTCTCCTGTACCTTCTCAATCGCCTCCTCTAGCAGCTTGACGCCCTGAGTCTTGTCTAGGCAGTGGTTCGTCAGGACGTATAGCGGGGGCGCCACGAGCTTGACCTTTACTTGTGGGCTGACAGCCTCAGCAGCACGGAGGGCGTCCTTCACGGCGTCAATGCCATCGTATCCAAAGCAAGTCACTTCGATATCAGCACGGACTTTGGTTGGTGGAGGGGTAAGTCTCTTGTTGATGTGGGAGATGAGTTCGTCCTTGACCACGGCGCTTGGGAAGGTAACGTCGTCCCATACGGCAGGGTTACTATACATTCCGTAGTGTTAGAGCAACGAGGCCTGCAAATTCTCGAGTACGGCCACGGCCATGTTAGGGAGAAGAGTGTTGTCTTACGTGATAGACAGCTTGAAGGCATCGTTGGCATGTCCGTATTTCTTATTCAGGGGCCATCCGATTTGCTGGTAAAGCTCTTCGATCGGGGTCTTTGTCTTCTCGGCAACGTGACGCATAATCGAGTGTACCGACTTGCTCTTGTTGTATCGTTCCTCACACTTTCCGACATCCTCAGGTGACACTCGACGTTTTGAAAGATCGATATAACCTGGAGGGCAAGCACATTTCCCCTATCAGCACGAAGTATCAAAACTGGTATAACCCATCGCACGCAACCCACCTTTCTCCTTGTCTACTCGCAGAACGACGACGACCTCGTTACGTCCGACTCGGATAAGCTTTTGTATACTTCTGATACGTCGTCTCGACAGCTCGGAGAGTAGGATCATGCCATCGATGTTGTCGTACTCGAGCAGCTTGACATATGCACCCATCTCCGCAATCTAATCAGTGATAAGCCACTATTAGCATCATCTTCAACTTCGTGCCTCCCACTCCGCCAGCACCAAGAACGTGGGGTATCAAGGTTTTTATTCACCTGCTTGACGGTGACCATGACAAAGCTATCAATCTCCGGAAACTTCTCCTCGTAGAAGCGACAGTTGGTGAGCGACATGTTGGCGAGGGGGCGCTGGTGCGCAGGTCGAACTTGTGCGTCAGAGAGAGAGAGAGGGCTTAGAAAAAGGTGATTGTGAGCTCAAGTTACGATTGGCCTGGCGTTGACGGTCCTCGCGGCGGAAGGAAAAGCTGAAGAAACGGGCCCGTCGGTGAAGATTTGCTTATTCCCGAGTGAAGGCAGGGCGTCAAAGGAGATTTGATCAGTCCGTTCGGCGGCGGCGTGTCGTCTGCTTGTCTTCGTCCAGCGTCTTCGATCCTTGCAAATCGCAAATTCGTTTTCCGTTTGTTTGGCGGATAGTGGGACAGTCACGTGGTTAGATTATATAAGCACAGCTTTTGGCAGGTCCGCGCGTGTTTTAAGGAGAAAAGTCGACTGACTTCTATGTAACTCTATAGTTTCTGCTACGGAGTATTCTTCTGCGTGATTGCAAAGGCAGTTACTTGGGTACATCTGGGTTGGTGAAAGTAAAAAAAATACAAGATCTACCCGGTTTGATCATAACCTTCGCACGAGCTAGTGGGGTGGCTATAGTTCTCTACCAGCACAGGTGAACACATATGCCAATGCTACCGGTGCTCCGTATTATAGTTGGATCAAAAGCCATCCATCCATCTTCATACTCGACTTGCTCCCGTGTGTAATATCAGGCTGCGCCAGTTTGAACTCACAGATTCAGCCTCACCGTCGCCGCTGGCCTAAACGGGGACTTTTCCATAGCCGCTTTAACGGCCGCCGCGAGGTTCGCTTAAAGAAGCGACGCAGCCTTAGTCAGCGGCCCGCCGACCAGTAAGAATTTGAGGAAATTGAGCGACTCCCGGATTGCAGACGCCGCTCAACAGCTCGCGCAGCGACAAAAGGACGAGGACTTGGCTGCATCCCAGCAACTAGAGGGTGGAGATGGACGTTGATGGCGCTCGCTGGTGTCTGTTGTATGCGCTTGCACTTATATAAGAGGAACAGCAAAGGTTGAGACAAGGATGTTCGCTTGTTCGCCAGCCCTGCCCAGCCAGTTAACGCCCGCGCCTGGCCAACGCCCGAACTAGATTCCTGGGTATATATCACCCTAGCCTTGCCCCGTCCATATAAGCTGGAAGGATAGCAAAATAGAAAAAAAAAAAAAAAGATAAACCACTGCAACCGCAGGCCGTCGCGATGAATAACCCGCCTGAGAACAGTGATGTCAGTGCCAGTTCCAGGCTTCTTGACTCCCATGCTTCGAGCCAGCAGCCTGGTGATGCTCGCAGTCGCACCCATGGCACTTTCACCCCGGCATCTACTCAGAGCTATGGGGAGAGCAGCCAGATCTCTGAAGCAGGATACCTCCAAGGCAGAGATGGCATTTCTTCCGCTCCTAGCGGCGGGAAATCCGTCACAAAACAACTAGCAGAGGCTCATGGCCTGAAAAACCAAAGGGCTATGTATGGTCTCCCTTATACCAGTAATGGAATGCAGACTACCCCCAACAGCAGAATCTAGATGATGATATTGAACAAGGAGCTAACGTATCAATTTGCCATATAGGTACCTCGCATACTATGTGCCGTTCTTTAACTGGATAACGCAGTATCGCTGGTCTTACCTCCGCGGTGACTTCATCTCGGCCTTGACGGTCTGCTCTGTCTACGTTCCCATGTGCCTCTCGCTGGCATCCAATGTTGCCCATATACCCGCTATCAATGGCCTATACTCGTTTATTTTCCACCCGTTCATATACTCCATCTTCGGTAGCAGCCCGCTCTTGATCGTGGGACCCGAGGCAGCCGGTTCTCTCATGGTAGGCGCCGTCGTTCGAAGTACAGTCGAGGACGGGAAGGGCATCGACGACGATCCTCGTGGTAATGCTGCGATCTCTGGAATTGTGGTGGGCATGGCTGGTGCCATGACCCTAATTGGAGGAATCACACGCCTGGGATTTGTGGATAATGTCCTCAGTCGTCCGTTCCTCAGGGGGTTTATCAGTGCTATCGGCTTCATGATCATGGTTGACCAACTCGTGCCTGAGATGGGGCTGAGTGACAGAGCCAGAGAGGTCCTGCTTGGTACATACGGCAGCTCCGCGGAGAAGTTGATGTTCTTGATCCAGAATGTACATTACAGCCATGGTCTTACATGTGCTGTTTCATTCAGCACCATTGCCATCATCATGGTCTTCAGGTTAGTTATTCTTGAATGGTTATTTATACATACGAATAATCACTAACTTGTTGCCAGGATACTGAAGAAGCACCTGCAGCCGCGGTATCCGGGAGTTGTCTTTTTCCCGGACCAGTTCATAGTTGTCGTTCTGTCTGCGGTCTTGACCTGGGCACTAGAGTGGGATAAAAAGGGGCTTGTTATTCTTGGAAACATCAAGGGCACCAGCAACTTGTTCAGGTTTGAGTGGCCGTTCCAGACAGACAAGCTAGAGCATATACGCAATGCCATGAGCACCTCCTTTATCATCTCTCTTCTGGGGTTTTTCGAGTCCTCCGTTGCCGCAAAGGGCATCAGATCTGCAAGTAAGGGTGGGATCGAAGGCATGACCTACAGTCCAAATCGTGAACTCGTCGCATTGGGTGTCGCCAACATGGTTGGCGGGTGCTTCCTTGGTCTTCCCGCATTTGGTGGATATGGTCGAAGCAAGCTGAGTGCCTTGACCGGTGCTAAAACACCCATGGCCGGAATATTCGTTGCCCTGATTACTTTAGCATCCGTGATATGGCTGCTTCCATACTTTTATTATCTCCCGGTATGTAATTTATGTTCACCTTGCCTATTCGACGGTGTGCTAACCTCCTAGGTAGATGGCGGTTCTTTCTGCCTTGATTTCGGTTGTTTCCTTCTCACTTATAGAAGAATGCCCTGAGGACATCCGCTTTTTTATTAGAATCCGCGGTTGGTCAGAGCTCGTTCTGATGCTACTCATCTTCTTTTCTACCTTCTTTTATTCCCTATACCTTGGTATCGCCCTTGGGTTGGGTCTCTCTCTCCTCCAAATAGTCCGCCACGCCACGAAGCCACGTATTCAAATCTTGGGCAAAGTACACGGGACCAGAGACCGTTTTGAGAACGCTGAAGTTCATCCTGAGTGTGTCGAATACGTTGCGGGCTCGTTAATCGTGAAAATCCCCGAACCACTTACCTTTGCCAATACCGGCGATCTAAAGAACAGACTACGCCGGCTGGAGTTCTACGGCACGAACGCGGCACACCCTGCTCTGCCTCGTGTTAGACCCCCAGAGCACAACAAGAACATCATCTTTGATATTCACGGCGTAACGAGCATCGACGGGTCAGGCGTGCAGGTGCTCAGTGAAATAGTTGAAGAATACGTCTCTCATGGCGTGCGGGTATATTTCTGCCGCATCCCGCTTCCTGGGAGTGAAGTGTTCCAAATGATGGAGAAGAGTGGCATAATTGATACGTGTGGCGGCATATCCCATTTCGTGTCTACTGTCGAAAACGCCCTCCAGCTGGCGGAGACAGAGTATATTAACTACGAGTGATGGTTGTTACATGTTTTGATGGGTTCGTCTATAAAAGAGAGTCATAGTTTATGTATACCCCGTTATTAGCGTTGACTATATATAGCTTGTTTGTCTTGACTTGATCCTTTTCTACAGATATTTTTAGAGAATATACCCTATCCTCCACAATGTCATTGACAGTAAAGTTCATTTCGAGAGTATTTGTACATCGACTAAGGCCAACGATCAATATCCTTCCACTGTCCCGTGGCCCTTGCAATTAAAAGACGCAATAACTCTTCATTTGCTTTCCATACCAACCGCTTCTCCCGTTCATCAACATCAATACCATCGCCTTCTTCCTCGTCGGAGTCATCCAGGAGGATGGTGCGTCCCGGATTAGCTAGAAATTTGATTCGGCCCTCCGAACCAAGCACGAACGCGCCGCAGGAGACCTTCGTTAACTTGATATTTTGGCCTTTGGAGTCTCCTGTTGGTGAGTTCTCTCGTCCCGTAAAATCTCTTAGATCCAACTTCATAGCAAGATTATGATCGAAGTATTCCGACAAAGCTTTTAAGAACGGGGCTGAAGGGCCATCCCTCTCGATGCTCTTCTTATTACTTTCAACTTCAAGGCTTCCAAGGCCATGATCATAGAAAGCGCCGAGTGAATCTCGTGGAATATGTATATCCAGTGACTTAAGATCTGTAGAAATCGGCGGTGGAAATGAGAGAGTCAGTTGCACTTCCTTCATGATTGACTCAATAAACGCGCGTGATTCCACTTTTGATGCCGCTGTCTGGTGCGCCGCGTGTTTCTTCGTTCGACTAGCAGTCCGGTTCAGCGTAGCCAGATATCTCTCAAAAGCGCTGCATAAGAAGCTTGACGGGAGTCGTAGAACAGAAATTCGAGTATCAAAGGTCTCGGATAAAAAGGAAAGTAGAGATTGTCTCAGCGCGTTGGGCATTCGAGTCACTAGCAGCGGTAGAAATGTGGTGCCCTCTGGCCTCTCATCTCCCTCATGGCGATACCCATCCGGACCGGCCAGAAGGGCAGCCTTATAAGTTGCATTATCATATTGTAGGTTGATGAGAATTCCAGCGGATTGATCCGGAGTAAGCGTCAAGGAAGTCTCCTGATCTGGATCTTCCAGTATAGAATGCTCTTCATTCCAGTAACTCCAGGTCGGGATATTCGCCCACTTGCATTCCTTGAGCGCACCGGCTCTGGCAAGGATATCATCGAGCCCACCTATACTGGGAGACAGTGTTGAAGTCTGCACGATTCCGCCTAGCACATTTCCCGTGAGAGTATCGCGAAGCCGATTCGCGTAGGCGCGGATACAATCTGGCGCCTCCAGGAGCGAGCTTTTGCTGTCCTGGCCATGATACAGAGGCGAAAGCCGATGCAAGGTCCAAGATGTTGAGAATAGTTCTGTCCCTGACTGAGCCATTTATCTTTTCACTATAAAACGATTGGATATTTCTATCTGCTGAAAATTGTGAGGCATCAGATTGGTTGTTGTTGAGAAATTGGCTTCACCGTGGTCAATGTCAACTAGTTAGTTATCTAGTTACAAAGTTCAGGCTTCTTGGTCAGATGCTAGTTTGGCAGTAGTTAACTGAATATAATTCTTGTGACAATCAATTTGAGTGCAAAGAAGACTTGTTGGCCCTGATATTCTGGTATTCGTACATCTATACTATCTACGAAGTTTTCCTATTCTTTCTTTTTTTTTTTTTTTTTTTTTTTTTTTTGTCATTTTCAGCCAGCGATAGTTAACTAGCTATCCTTGAAAATTCATCCAGTGTCCATGAATTGTCAACCTCACTCAATGGCATTATCATGATAGTCGCTTTCACTGCTGTCATCCGTAAATATTTCCCTTTTCCCAGTCGATTCTCGTCTTTGATCTTCAATATCTTCTGATTCATAGTCGCTCGCTCCAGGACTTTCGACATTCCCACCATCGGATCTGCCATCAGTAGCTTTGAGCTTTGGAACATTCACTCGAATATCCCGGCCTGAAGAGAAAAAAGGACTCCTTTCGTTTAGTATTTTGCCCTGGCAAATATACCCCATTGGCGTGTTGCTAAAATCCTGGCCCTTTCGCCTTAGAGCTAGCCACTCCTGGAGGAAAGACAATGGTTTGGGAGTAAATGTAGGATTATTGGTGTGGATGACACTCTCTCCACCCATGTCCTGGGTTGGTTCCTTGGATTCCACTTCGCTCTCCTCATGGCTTGGAGCAGTTTCGACTGGTGAGCTTGTAAGTCCAAGATAGTGGCAGATAGATTCGTATTCAGAATAATCAAAGTATACCCGACCAGCTAAAATCCCAAGCTCAACGGTAAGCCAGAGGGGTGCTTTCCAATTTTCAGGCAATGGTGGCATGGAGTAAAAGTCCAAATTGCTAAAGTGTAGCATTCCACGGGTTACAGGAGCAGCGTAGGTCAATAGTCGAGTGTGAAGGTGTTTTGCGTTTTGGTGAAGTGGAATCAGCAGCTCTGCTTCTTCAGGAATGACGACAAGGGCAGCTTCTGTGGTGGGATTCCATAATATCCAATTCACTTGACGCTGGAAAGAAAGTTAACAGCTACATCTAACCGGATCAAGGCATATTCCCCTTTGAAGTTGCATCCGAGGCTACTTACTATGTAGTTATCGTTGTACTCGCCAACAGGTAACCGTACGGTTTTGAAGAATTCCTTGGAAAGAAACAATTTTGACGAAGTAGCACATGAGTTTATACCATGTTTCTGACCGATTCCGGTATTTCTCAAAGCAATGAACGCTTGCTGGTACGCTGAGGAATAGCTTGTCAGCGTCCCCGTACGACAGAATAATTCAATATCTTCGTGAATGCCGGGGAAGTTTAGTGCCTTAAAACGCGGGGCTTTTTGAACTTCTCGAATGGCTTCAACTTCATATGCAACCTCTCGTTCTTGTTCTACTTCCTGTAGAGCGGAGCTGTGAACAGCGTCTCCAAAATCCTGAAATCCTTTCTTCCGGTGCTCAAGGTCCTTGACATGTGTTGCAATGTGAGGGGCATAGGCAGCGACGGTAGCCTTTGACTTCACTTTTGCAATTGGCCTGAAAAGCTCTTGCAAGGTTTGCATTTCCTCCTGCTGGAGAGCTTTGCAATATTGCTGCCGTTGGGCCTGGTCGGTCAAATACTTAGGGGTATCCACAGCGGCTTGCCTCCGACGGCAGAAGTCCATCCCCTGTGAGAAGTATAAGGGCTGGATTTGCTCAATTCCAATGCAGGTTTGAACCAAAAGCCAGTAGATAACGTCAGCAGCGGTTACAGGAGCAGAGGATGGAAGTTTCCGAGAATCGAGTATGCTATGATGAACCTCAGGGGGGGCAAAAAATGTAATCGACTGTGTAGTACCGAGCTGTCTTAGCCTCATGGCAGCTACGTATAGTTAGATCACCTCTCTTTCTTATGCAGAGAACTTGAGTGAAGCTTACCTTGTACTGTGTGGTCTTTCGTTTGCCCTAGTCCCAGTGTAAGGGCCCCAACTGCATCTGCTGGGATCTTTAGGTCTGTTCCTCGAGTATGGGCCTCGTCAAGATACACAAGGCAATCCGCCAGGTTCTCTGCATAAGGTGAAGCTAGAAGAGGAACCCGATAGCCGTTGCGATATATGATATAAGGCTTGTTCTCAGGGTCGAAATACATCGCTGCCGGGGCGCTATGGTCCACTTTTAACCACACTTTTGCTAGGCTCAGATTATCCATCTCCAGTATTTGGGCACCTGCATCTATCAATATGCGTATTTCCATACGCTTCAAAAGAGCTAGAAGCCCCTCTTCTGTCAAACGCTTCCCCTCAGAATCTTTAGCAACAACGTAGTTGCGGGCCCGAAGAACAAAAGTTAGGACTTCAGCATTTGTGTGTACTAGGGAACTAAGGTCCTGTTGTTTGATTGTCAATGGAAGAATTGTACGGTTGTCATTCGTTCCACTAAACCCTGTTGTCATTGTTCCAAGATTTGCGTGAGGTGATGACAATGGAATATCCCATCCTGAAGCCTGCAGTTTCACTTTGAATTGCTTCGCATGTTTTGGAAATACGAACTGGTTCAGGAAATAGTTGATGAGGGGCATTTGGTAGCGGAGGTGGCTCCAAAGTTGATAGACTTGGGATTCATCCTCGGTGTTTATCGAGTTCCAATCTTGAAGGATTTTAGGGAGCTTCTCCGAATTGGTAATCCATTGTTCATATATGGTGGACGGGTCGCTGGATTTCATTAGATCATCAAGGCATTGCCTCACTTGCGAAAGCTCCAAACCACCAAGATAGAATGCTAAACAGGTAAAGAGTATAGCGACATCAGGGTGTCCCCATTCAGCTTGTTCAGATGGAACACCCTTTGCAATGAATGGGACTGCGATAGGATCTCTCAAGGGATGAAGGCCGTACTGGACATTCCAGCGCTTCTTGAGGGTCAGTAGTAATATGCGATGAACCAGAAGCCCACGCAACAGATAGATATTTTGTCTTGCAGCTGAGTTATCAGGGAATAAAGACGATACTCGCTTAACAGTCTTAGGGGATATCGACACTTCTGAAATGAAGGCTTTGATGTCCATAATTTCGGAACGACAACAGCCTTGGACAGGGATTACAGAAGTTCGACCGTCGATGATGTCCCTAACTACATGGGATATCAAAGCTTCCTCTGCATCTTTGCGTAGGAAGTAAACGATTGGGAAGCCGCCTTTAGGGCGTTGAATCACCTCGATACTTCCAGGGTATCTTTGCCAAAGTCCCCAAATGTGGCCCGAGACGAGTTCCAACAGTTTCTCTGCAGTTTGCCATCTATGAGGGTGGCCATCAACTGTGCTCTGCGTGCCGCTAGGATAAATGAGTTGTGTCCGAGGAGCAAGTGTGAAATCACATTCATCCAAAACATCGCGGCAAACTGTCTGCATCCAACCATGAATTTTGATCATTCTCCTTGCTTCAGGTAACTTGTTGTCAACCAATCTCTGGAGACCACTCAGCTGAAAGGACATCATGTGCTCCGGGAGAGCCACGATAATACCGGCGGATGACATGATATCTTTGTGAAGTTTGAGATAACTGTTGATCATATCTGTACTTGTTGGTGTTCTGCGGGAGAATGGTATATGTCGTATTTCCCGACCTACCAACCCCCCGAGTTTCCCCTGAAGTACCTGTGAAGTTTGAAGCAGTAATGCCTTAGGTACAACTACCCGTAGGAGTTTCGTGGTATCCGATAGAACAGCAGCTACCATAGGGATAATACAAGAAGTTTTGCCTAGATTCCAAAATATCAGTGAATAACCCAATAACCTGCCATACTATCAACTTTCGCTACAAGAGAATTATCCCTCAAGAATTAAGGGCCGAAGCTGTTCTATCCCAACACGGGAGTTCTTACCTTGACCCATGTTCATCTGTAAAACAGCATTTGCCTGTGAAGATGGAGAAATTGTTGCATGTGCAACCTCAACTTGGTTGGGCCGGATACAAATATCTGCATCAATTTGTAATAGCAGCCAATCTGGATGAAGCGAAGGATCCCAGTTGGAATGAGGCATACAATTTTTTTCCTCTTCAAGTACCCTATCCTGTCTTCGCAAGTATGCACCCTTAATTCTAATAAAGCGTTGTCTGTGAATAATTTCGACCGCTAGTGCGATAAGATTCTCTTTCATTCCAGCTCCAAATTCTCCTTTGAAGGTGGAACGAAGATGTTCAAGGAGGGTAACCATTGTCATGCAAGGCCATAGGCCTGCAGGATGTAGCCAGCGGAAGCGCGAATCATCTTTATTGAGGACCGATCTGAGGTGTTCGACATGGGATTCAACCTTTTGTGTCGCTGACCCAATGTTTGTATAAATTGTGGATTCATCAAACTCTTTGTCAGCTGGGATATCATTGACGATTTTTATACTTCTCAATGCCTCAAGGCTGGTCATCAGGTCATGCCCATATTGATGTCTAACCAATGAGGGAGAATCTTTGATTTTACCAATTATTTCTTCCAGTTCGAGAATTTGTGTAAAGCCTGAGCTTTGTGATAGAAGACTTGGTGGATTGTCGGAACCGGTAAAAACACGTCTAATACCCTCCTCCTGGGAGGCCTTGTAGGTAGTAATAGTGTTTTTTGTGTGGTGGGATTCATGGGTATAAAGCGTGCAAGCTTTGCGTAGCAGATTACTCGCAAGTGTGGGGATATCCTGTCCTCTAAACCCAGTGGGAAATATTTCTGTGCTCACGGATTTTATGCATCAGTCGAATTGCTCAAACTTTCCAAAGTTACCAGAAACCAAAGTGGCTTGAACTTTGGCAAGATAGTTAGAAAGTTCTGAATTCTGGAATAGCCGAGACCAATCAGGGAGAATGACCTTTAAGGCTAAGTGGACATTTAACAGCGGAAAATCGGGCATTCCCTGGATTTTTGGCTCAAGGCAAGGCCATTGAGCAAAGATATACTCTGAAAACGCGATTGCATTAGCCTCAACTCGTTTCTCGTGCTCTCTTTCAGCAGCTTCAAATCTCTTTCTAGTCTTGATGTTAAGCGGTAGAACTCCCCGTTCATCCCCAGTGTATGGAACACAGCAATTATTAATCAGTCTTCTCAGGTATACCACACTAGGTTGTTGATTATAACGAAAATGTTTATAATGAACCCAATTTGGTGGTGTCAGGGACTTTAGGCTTGGAATAGTGGCGAAAAGCAGCAAAGTACGTATGATTTCCATGTCGGCGGAGTTGGAAAACGACATAAGAGCCATCGTCATCATGAGATGGTATTTATTTTTCTCCTCCGAATCACGGCAGAAATTGACGAGGGAGCCCCATGACACGTCAAACTGTATGTCGAGTATATCGCTGAGGAGCACCTTATCGAAAACTGTACTATAACCTCCAATTGTAGGCCAGGATTCCATCCGTCGGATTAAATCAGCATGAGACCCTGTGTTTGTTGACCAGTTTTTCACCAAACTACTTATTTCGAATACGTTAGAACGACGTCGGACTGCCTGGAATCGATCTCTCGGGTTGTAAACTTCATCCTTCACAATTGGTAGATCGTCAAAGCCGGCGTTCGGCCGCTGGTAGATATTTCTCCTCCTATATGCCCGAATCATCAAAAAATCATCACTGGCAGGCCGAACTGCCGGTTGATCGATCTCTTTGTTACCGAATTGCCTAAGCGTCCTTTCTGTTTCCAAAATCTTCTCAACCAGAGATGAAAATATTTCGTGTTGAATCCATGGTGTTAGATTCTCATTCCATATTGTGTGCTGAACAGTCTTGGAACCAGGAGGATAATAAATCCTGGTTGGGGCCAGAAGTGCAACGGTTTGAAGAGTCCCAAGTGGGCCGGGATTCAACGTAGTCCACGGCTGGCTGTAACTTGACTTCAGACAGTGAACCGCCTCTTCTGTTCCAGTACGCCCTGTCAGCTCATCCGGTAAAACAAAAGAGGTATATGCATGAAACTGAGCTTTGGCGTATAAAGTCCATGGTTCGACCGGGCAATCTAGTCTTCCAAGGGATGTATTTATGAAGAACCGGCCATAAGTTCCAAGGTTTTCAGCAAAGACACTAACATGGATCCCATTTCTCGTACATTGCAGTGGGCCCATGGGAACGATGATGCTGCGCTGTTCGTTATCAATCACGTCGCGTAGCACAAGCTTGCTTTTCAACCCATACCATGTGCCTGCATCTTGATTCATGTCGATTAACGCGTTTAGCTGCTTGCATCTAAGTTGCCCGCTTTTAGTAACGATAAAGTCGAGTTCCAAGCGGCGTAACTCCACGGATGAGTTTTTCGATGCAGGCTGATATATGGTGATGTATCCGGGGTGCTCAAATCCATCAAACACGTTGGCAATAAGACGGAATAACTGACTATGGGGATCAATCAAAGTAACTGTGCGGCGACGAGCTTTTCGATTGTAGAAGTCGACTTCCCAGTAACTATCCTTACCATACCATATATCAGGTTTCCGCCTGATTTTGATAGTCCCAGACTTTAGATCAAGCCAGTGAATGCAATTTTCAACCAAGGAGCCAGGGAGGTCAAAGTTTCTCCTGTCCCCGAATATTTCATAGGGGAGGAATTCGTAAATCGTGCGCCTACTCTCAGCTCGAACAAAGGGCTTACCATCACGGAAACCAATATGGATTCTTTGCTTCTTAACTTCAAACGGAAGGACGTATGACATTCCATGGAGCGACGAAGGGTAGACCTGAAGCCTTTGGTTTCCAAACAGACGATCGAGGACCATGGCGTTTCTGTAATTTGCGGGGAGCGTTGCTAATGGTTCGCCGTCGACAAGTAAATGTCCTTCAAGAAAATGAAAATGCACAACTTGTCTTTTTGTCTGATTTGTCGGGTTTATCACAAGTTGGGCCCATTCGTCGCCGCTTAGAAGCTGAAGGCTGGACATTTGCCCTAGCAAAAGTGTGTTTTGTGCCCAAATATCTGTTAATACAGCACCTAGACTTCCAGGGTGATTTTTCAAAGATTGTAATAGTATTGGACGCATCCTGTATACCATTTTCAAATCTCGAACAAGCGCACGCCACTGAAAATGAGATAGCGATTTCAAATCAGGGGGAATGTTGTCTTGAAGTGAGATAGAAGCCTCTATAAAGCATCGTATATCACTTTCAGCCATGTTTCCCGTGTATCTAGGAGTATTCTCAGGGTAGACCGCAAACGTCCTCCTCAGTAACAAGGCAACAGTGAAAGCAAAGTCGGAATAGTTTTCAATCATGTCTGGCTCACAAGCGGCACAAATTTCCTTACGCAACAGCCGGATCCATTTCAAAAGGGTCTCTTGAATCTTTTTCAGTAAGGAGATGGCCTTGTCAATGGTTCTCAGTGGGGATAAGGCGCATAGCCGGAGTATCAACGTAATCAACATCTCCATGCAATCAGTCTCACGCCAGTTCATTGCGATCCCAGTTAATCTTTCTTCGAGTAATTTGATTAGTCGGTTACAGAAAGTCTCATCACGGAAGATCTTGTGTACCACTCGAAAAACATCATTCGTATCTCTCGGTCCTGCCTGTATTGCAAGTTGACAAATCAACGTGCAAGGGCCTTTAGTGCTGAAGTTCAAGTTTGAGGAACCAAGTTCAATAAGGATTGTAGGCCAACGTCTGACCACGCCAGAGAAAAGAGACTTGTACGCCATGAATTCGTGGGCATTCAGTCCCGGTGGACAGGAAGACTGACTGGCTAAAATTTCATAGGACGAGGAGCCAGACAAACTACCTGGAGGTGCTATGGACGAGAACGGTGAGTTCGTCAAGTTGGGCATCTGAAGATGGTGGGAAACACTTGAAACATGGCTTTGCCTGTTAGGAAAGATGTTATGGGTGGTATCATAATATCTAACCCTTAGATTATTGTCGAAGCATATGTCTTCCAGCCTGACTGGGAAGTAAACTCCTCTGTAGTGGGTAGATAGCAAAGATTTTGTGGTCGATGCAAGCACAATTCCCTCTGAGCTTCCAGTAAAAAACTTACTGAGCTCCCGATACTCTGATATCAACAACCTTGGATACGCTGGGGGTTGTTCGTGAGGGCACGCAACGATACCAAATAGCAGCCAGGTTGCGTTACGATAGGACTTGAATGCCTCTGGACATTGTAGCTCAAACACCACCGCCCTAGCATGGACTGGATTTTCTGGAAGTGGGTGTTCATGGATTTGGATAGTCATGCGGTTGGCACGATGTTGGTTTTCGCACTTTTCACAATTTTTGTCATGGTCTACCCCTCCATGCCGATTGGTAATATAAGTGCAGGAAGATAGTGTAATTTTCTTCTGCAAAGCCTCGAATATCTCACTTTTTTGTTGCCACTCCTGTACTTTTCTGTCATAATTCTTCTGCGCTTGCGATTCAATTTTTGAGCGGAGGTTTTGAAGCCTCAAGGAATCTTCTGATAAATCGAAATATCTTTCGGCAAAACACCCTTCGGTTGGATCATCGAAAATTGTCCTTCGGGACAGGCTCCGCGTACATCGGGTCTCTATGTACTCCTGCACAGTGTTCAGACGAATTGAATCTTTAAGACTTGATAGCTGCAGCACATCAAGAAGGCTCGACGAAATCCCAGGGTGATAATCGAGTAGTAAAGGGTAAATTTTAGTAGCGCATTTATCAAGTTCCACCCATAGTACCATCATGTGTAGTATCATGATGCTCTTCTGCTCAGGATTGCCGTTATACGCCGGTTCAGCCTCGTTATAATAGTTCCAGATCATGACTGCCAGCTCAATGCAGGTTTCTTCTGCGGAGCTGTGCGGAAACTTTAAGGCTTCATTAGAGACCCTCTCTCGCTGTGAAAGGGAGTTATAAGTGTTGGCAAACTTTTTGAAAGCGTTCGAACGTTTAGGAATGAAGTCTTTTGCCGATGGGTTATTTGCAGTCCGTGAACGATCTATTCTGTATTGTGACAACACATTCTCAATCTCTTTCTCGCTATTTGTTAGAGAAAGATATTGCGAATTTTCATCTGCATGGAGCGGAAACCGTGGAATCTTGCGTCGAATGCTTCTTTTGAATGTATTCCAGATATCAGCAACATGGTTTCTAGCGTTGCTGATAGAGGTCTGGAAAAAAAGTTCAAATCTGTCAAATAATCGATTATATGTTACTCTGTCGTTATGGAGCGCTTTCTCCCGATGGACCTCCAGCTTTGCCAAACGTCTTGCTAGCTTGGCGGTAAGCAGTGAAATTAGGTCTGGCGAGAGTGAGTCGGTTCCAGAACCTAGAATAGCCGAGAACATGAGACAAAGAAGGAACTTATAGTATGCTCGTCCTTTCGTGGCACCAAGCTGCAAATGGAGATGTCGCTCAATTCCCACCCTGAGAACAAGCCAAAATGGTAGTCTTCTCCATGGTTTGCCACCTCCCGGAGCCCAAGAAACTTCATCACGGACACGTTTCCTTAATAGTGGAGGGAATATTCGAGAGCCATTTGCTTCCAGCAGAGTCATGAGCATTTGCGTGATTAAAGCAGGATCTGTGGTATCACGATTCTCGAATGCGACTGAGCCACCTTTCAAAACACCTGCAGCGAATCTCTTTATTGATTCCGTGCTCGCACTCTCTAGGAAATTGGACAACGACTCCTGGAATGATGGTTGGGTAAACACGGTATTGGGAATAACAATAGTTTCGCCCGGGAAATCCCATTGGAGTGGGCCTTCTGCAGAGAGTACTTTTTCAGACACCGGCGACACCTCAAAAGATTCAAAGATGACTGTCTCCTCGCCATCTCTATAATAGAAGAATCAGATATAAACAGTCTGAACAACCACCAATTGGAGGAGGGAGGTGAAAGCTTACCGTTCATTCTTCCATATAAGTAGTCCAGCATTTTGCTCTTTCACGTGAAGAATTATAGGAGTATTTGGCTGGATTTTTTGGAACTGATGTAGGAGCGAGGATTTATCCAATTTTCCATACAGGTTAGTGGCCTTGCAAATCTCGAGAACATTGAAGATAGAACGTCCAACGGCATTTATCTCTGCATCAGAATCTGCTTTGAGGGTAATAGACGCGGCCTGAAGAAATGCTAGAAGCTCGCACCGGACATCATCCTCGCAAACTTCCTCCTTTCCTGGCAGGCGAGGCGGGAGCACTATATGATTAACCACGTACTCAAGCTTAGAGCAGGTGGAAGGGGGGTAATGCTGCTTCATGACCACCAAAATTGCATGGTAGACATTAAGAATATTGAACGATGCTTGAGTTGGGCTAAGCAGCTCGCGTCGTTCGCGAGAATATTTTGTTTGGATTTTTATATGGGAGGGAAGAAAGTGTAGGAAAGAAATCAAAACATACCG